CACATGCACACCAGCGCAGGGCCCTCCCCGCACTGCCTCTGCTCAGCCACTGGCTCCCCGTCAGTCCGTTTGGATTATGGTACCAACTCAGGCCTTTCGCACACGTTCCCTCCTCTGCCCACTCCACACAGCACAGCACATCAGAAGGATTAGGTGACAGAGAGCCGCGGAGGAGGAGAGAGAGAGCAGGAGGGGGAAATAAAAACAGCCATGGAGTTCAAGTAAGTGGGGTTGTTGAGAGTTAAAGATGTGGAGGGGGCTGGAAAGAGTGGTTTCTGTGGTTTTCAATTGGTTGGACCTGGACCAAGAGGAAAGAAAGAAAGACATGCATCTGTCAATGTAGTATGTAAATTAATTCCCTTGAAGTCGTGCAAACTAATACTTGAAGAACAGGTTCCATCTTCAGATCACCGGCTCAGGTGTCATAATGGAATAGATGCGTATACTCTGTCTTTCGACATTATGTCTCGTGCTTGAACTTGATTTCCTGTCCGGGATGCTGACGGGCTGCTGCACACATGTCTTTAAAGCAGCAGGTGCATGAGGCAACATGTTTGTTCAGGGCCTGGTAAATGAACAACAGATGTCATCTGTTCCTTGACAAGAGGTTGTTTTATTTTAAACGTAATCTGAAAATGCTTTGTGTACCTCTGTGTAGAGAGAACCAATAATCCTTAAAACGCTAAACTTTGCTAGCGGCAATATGTAAGGATGCATCTCACCAACGAGGCTGTAAATCTTGGTTTTTATTTGGTCCATTCAAGCAAAATAAAAAAGCTTTTGGGAGTCTGTTGTGGTCACCTGGTGACTTCCTCCATCTAATAAATCATCTCCATAAAAAACACAATTGCACATACAAGTTTCAAACACTTACTTGTGATATGTGTCAACTCCGAAAAGAAGTCTTTAGTTCTTGGCTGAGATGATCAAATATAAACCGAATCACAACACTCGAACCATTAAAAATTTTTACCGTTTGAGTCGGGGGCCATGCTTTTCCTGACACTGAGGCTCAGACTTTCAGCCTCACTGACTTGTGGCTGACAGATGTGCAGCGTGAAGAGTTTCCAATGGCCTTACAGCTGCACATCTGTAGAGTCAAATTTGTGGTTGGTTGTTAACATGCATTCGGTCGAGCGCACACAAACACACACACACGGACACGCATACACATCTATACAGAGCATTGTCTTATCTGGTGCCCCCAGAGTGCACGGTTGGCAGATATATGGTCGAGTGACGCCCTGACTCAGGGTTTCCGTCTTTTCTCAGCAGGCAGGCCTTTTTTCTCAGAAGCATGAAAATACAATCAGCCAAACCTTATAGTATCATAATCATAGGAATCCTTGTGATACAAATTTCTTAAATGTACACGAACAATAACTTGAAATACGTGATCGACCTCATACATGGTTGATCTGAAACCATTTAAATTTGCTTCTGTGGGGAGGATTGAGGTGGAGCTGGATGATGGGATGTTCAGGCCGTTATAATCTGACACCGGGCCGTCTTTAGCGGGGGCTTCAGATTAGCGTGAGCGTTCTTATAATCCGTGGGTGGGTTTTGTGTCACGCTCGTTGAAGTATTGGCACAGAAAGCTCTCAATTCCACTGAAATGGAGAGTTTGAAAGGCTATATGAATGCTTGGTTTTGGATCATCTGTGGGGACTAATTGGAGCTTGGGTATTTTTCTTTGGGTCACATTTGTCCAACTTCACTTTGTCCTTTTTGGAGCAGTGTTTCTTCCACTCTCCTTCAGTATCCCACATTTACATTCCCCCAAAATATTTGCCAATAATCTGTTTAAAAAGTAACCACTGTAAACTGCTGATCACTGAAGTCTCACTCAACGCCGTTCATTATAGTTTAACAGTGAACCCGTGTGTGGCAGGACTCTTGGACCTCTGCCTTGACAAACGAACGAGTCCTACATCATAAAACATTACAAACTGCTCACAGTGCAAATGGAAGCGTGGACGCCATCAGGGCTGTTTAACAGAAACACTCTGCAGCAGATATAAAGTCCCCTGTTTGTTTGCACCGTCGCTTCACAGCAAGAGGGTTCCCAGTTTGAGTCCACGGGGGAACCGGAACCTTTCTGTGTGGAGTTTGCATGTTCTCCCTGTGTCTGAGTGGGTTCTCTCCGGGTTCTCCAGCTTCCTCCCACAGTCTAAAAACCTACATGTTAGGTTGATTGGACATTCCAAATTTCCCTTAGGAGTGAGTGTGAGTGGTTGTTTGTCCTTGTGTGTCTCTGTGTGGCCCTGCGATGGACTGGCAGACTGTCCAGGGTGTCCCCCGCCTCTCGCCCACTGACTACTGGGATAGGCTCCAGTTCCCCCACGACCCCAGTTGGGAATAAGCGTGATGGATGTTTCCATGTGGAGAAGTGTTCATTCTGACCGTTATGAGGAGGAACTCGGTGAGTTGGACGGAGCTGCTAACATGTCACGTTAAACCCTTTTTATTGCTTTTCAGTTGTTTCTCCAAAGTAAATTGAATCTGTGCCCGCCCTCTTGTTGGTGTCTCTGAGTTGTGGTTAGGCTTCAGGGGTGATGACGTGATGAGTGAAGCGCCTTAAACAGGTTATGCTACCTGTTTAGCGTTCGTGCGGTTGGGTGAACGTGTTTGTGCCCCTGAGCTGTTGTGGTTTCCTCTTTCATTTAAGTTCTGACTTAATGTTTATGTTGGCTCCTTTGAACTTGATTATCTACTGCCCTAACCTGTTTTTTTATGATTCAGGAGCAAAAACCCACTCTTTTTTTTTCTTTTTCTATCAGCTGATGATGGCAGCTCTCTGCCTAATTAACAGTGTTTGTTTATGAATGCTGCTTAAACATTAAAACATTCAACATCATCCAAAACATTTGAATTCCGTTTCTGATTCATATTTAAAGGCTATCCAGTGAAATTTAAGATTCTGTTTTGTTTTAAGCAGCCTCTGGTAACCTGATGGCTAATGGGAACAACTCTGGAGAGCAGATGTTTGCATTATTCAAATCAAAGACAGCAACTGATGCACGCATTAAAAGAGCCTGTCAGCATTTTGACCACTACCGTGGAGACATTTTTGTTTATTAGTGAATGACCTGTGAATGAGAGGTGTGCAATATTTTTGATTGTCTTATTATATAGAATATTTGAAAAATCCGGGACTAAAATGGCTCTCATTGTCTCTGTAGCTAATTGTCTGTGCTTGTTTGTGTTAATTGTCTGTGTTTAGACTCAGCCTACAACACAGTTAGTTGTTTTTTGTGGTTTGATGCAGGTCTGCTTGTTACCAGCAGTTTGCTGGCTGACCCCCCCATGTGTGGCCTCAATTATGGCAGCAAATCAGGAACTTTGAGTATCTCCCAGTTGATCCCTTTCCTCCTTTAACTGTAAGGGTCTCTGCTGTCCACATCTGAAGGCATTTCTCAAATACAGTAGCTGCTTTTTAAGTTAATTAATGTTCCCATGATTCAGTCTGGTGTCTTGCATTGCTTCGGTTTGTGTGACTTGGGTTCTAACACCTTAAGACCCTCAGAACTTGGAAAAAAGGATCCAGAAAGAGGTCAAATTATATTTCTGACCTGCTTTCGTAAATAGTTAAATCTTTATTAAGAGGAAATGCTCAATGGTGTTTTTTTAAGGCAGGGAGGGGATGTTGGACAAGTACAGGCACATTTTTGGCTCTGTGCTTTTCCAGAGAACAGTCTGCTAAAAACAAAAAAACAAAAACAAAAAAAAGATAGAAATCTTAGATTACAATTTGATAGTTTCTGCCATTTACCTTGGTTTAGACACCTGTAACAGACTGTTAGCCCCCCCCCCCCCTTTTTCCCCTTTTTCTTTCTCGGTTTTTTTTTTTTTTTTTCCCCTTCCTCTGACTTAATGAACTCACTGTTTTCCGGGGGCTGAGATGAGCTCCCCTGAACCGCAGCAGAGCTGCCAGTAGCTATGAAATATGTCATCATGCTGAACTGGATTTTACATGGATTCATTGCAACTAGATATTTTTGCATTTTTGCATTTTTCTCGTCTCATGAGAGACCATTCTGAAGATGATCTTTTACTCCAAAACAATAAAGATTACTTTGTTTTTTGTTGTCTGAACTTTCCTCCAAAAATGAGCACAAAGTTTAACAGATTTGTCCAAGTTATTTGTCTTTTTTTTCTTTATGCTGCAGTTATCAGAGATGAATAAATGCTGCTAGTTTCCTGGCATGAGTTCATTTCTGCACATCTGTATAACAGGGCTCAGATCCAGAAGACACAATGCTTATTGGCTTCTTCCTTTCCACAACCAGTTTGATTGCTGGTTTGGTATCAATGTAGGTGGAACAATGGTTGTCTGAGTCTTTACAGTCTGGTGGTTTGAGGTTAAGATGGAGAATTCTGAGGTTATCGTCTTTTTCATTCCCCCTGCTTTGTGTGATCCGGTACTCTCTGGGATAGCAGTTGCAGTGTGCTCTTATATTTTCGATAATTCCTTGTTAGTTGAAAATTCCCATTGTATATTTTTAAAAACTGGCACGGAGAAGAAGTTGGCTCAGATTAAAGAAGCCACAGACAAGAACTAGCCACATTTTTCATGTCTGATAGGTGAATGTTGACTGTGCAAAGTATACTTATGAACTTTATGAACCTTTATGAACAAAAGATGTCTTGCCCACTGAGGTTTTGGAGCTTAACTAATCTGTTCTTGTAGATACAAGCAGATTCAGGTTTCTTTAAACTGGACTGTGTTTAACATTAGTGTTGGGGAATTAAGTGGGAACTAATAGAAAACATACTAGTGAGCAGTTAGTACAGTATTTTTTTGGATGGACATAAATCAGCAGCACACACTCTGCATACCTCTTTCTTTATTCCCTTTCCAAAAAAGGAAAGTCAGACATCCAATATGAGAATGTTTGTGTTTGCATGGTGAGTCAGCAGCCTGCACACAGCTGCCCTCACACAGACAGAGACCTGTTCTTTTTATTTCTTCTGGCTGAGTGGGGAAGCCCTACCTGCCCTGTTTGTTGGATCGCCAGCTGTCAGCCAGCACTCACTCACTCACTCACTCCCATACTCTTGAATGCTGCAGCCGCTCACTGCGCCGTGCTGCAGTGAGGCAGCATTTACTTCAGCCCGAGAAGAGGGGAGGGAGATGAATGAACAGCACAGACCGAGCTGGGAATGATGACGTGATGGGAGGAGAGGAAGTGCTGGGAAAGAGGGAAGCTGGGTTGGATGAAGGGAAGGGAGGGGAAAAGATGATGTCAAACTGAAACACAATCTGCCTCTCCGCTGCTCCTCCTCAACTTTGCGCACACCCGTAAACACACGGAGGAGCCGTCCTGCTCGCACACGTCCTGCCAAACATCTCCCGCTCGGCTTCCTGCTGCTGATCGGAGGGAAGCATCGTTTCATGTCAGGACCGATATGACTTGAAGGCAGGTTTTGAGGGACTTAACGCAGCAAGAATGATTTCTGTTCCACGCATTTGGAGTCTGTGATTCGAGCTGTGGACTGAAGTGGATGACGCCTGTTGATCTGGCCATAAATGCACCACTGTAAGTCTTCTTATCAATATCCGTATAGATGTTCCATTAATAACTCTATTTTCTCGTGGACTGCTTTAGTGCTCATAGGTACAAATGTTTTCATTCCTCTTAGATCCCCTACGTAATATTCCTCTTGATCACACAGTCTGTGCCTTCCTCTGCATGTTAGATGACGACTCAATCCGGCAGGAATTATTCCGCTCAGCTGCTGCGGACCTGATTATATAAGAGCGGAGCGTTGTGTGGCTGCGGCGACCTTGTGCACTGTCAGCACAGCCGTGCTTCTGTTGTCGGCGGGATTGTGGCTTTTCTTTTTGAGTAATCTGCAGTGCGTTTGATCCCCCGTTCATCTGCTCTGCGGGAGCTGGTGAGTGATGAAATTTACAGCGTTTAGTCCGAGCCGCTCGTGTGTGTGTGTGTGCTGGCGTGCCGTCATTCAAATATCACAGACTGTTTTCGTCCTGTGGAGGGAGGGACACCTGCTTGTGCATAGTGCATCAGATATGAGATGAGCTTTTTGAGGGATGAAGATTTGACCTCATTGATTAGGTTTTTGTTTTTTAAATTGAAATTAGTATAATGCTAAACTGACACTGGGCATATCACTTAGCACCCATCAGACACTGTAAAGTTTCATGATTGCACGATGACAACACATGATGTCCATCACAACAGTAACTGAACGCTTCACTTCTCCTTTTCAAACTTTTCAAAACACGTCACAGCTGCATGAGGCGAGAGGTGAAGAGGTGTGTGAGAGAGTGAAATGAAGACGGGACAGGGTGAGGAAGAGGAGAAAGAGCAGACGCCAAAGAAAGGAGTGCGGCCCCCGAGGGTTTCCTCTCAGCGGCAGAGGTGGCCTGTTTTTGTGCCCGTCTCGAATATGAAGGGACAATAAAAGCACTGACACACTTTCTGTGTGCTAGCTGCAAGATAATGTTACAAAAATATCCCACACTCAGGGACAGATTGACATAGGGGTGGACATTCCAGAGAAAACTGAAAAGCAAAAATAACTGCGAGGTAGATTTTTCTTGTTAGAGGAGCTCTGTTTTAGTGGATTCAGCTCTGCGTCCCTCTAATGCGTGCTCAGCAGGGCTTTGCTTCTACATCATAATCAAATATTCATTTGTTGAAAGCCTTTTATGACACCAGCACAGCTTCTCCTACTCTGCTTCAGGGCTTTGCAACACAGGGGGGGGGGGCATTAGATAACTTTTTAGACCTTCTTTCATTTCCTTTAACTCACAGTCAAGACGGGCACAAAAACCTTTTAGTTTATTTTTAGATTTATCCTGTCTTGAGTTGGACGGACTGCTTGAATTGTTATGTTTATGTAATATAATATACATTTGTAATGGGAAATTAATATGAAATTATTTCCGGGGTTTTACATTTTGAGACAGTTCTGGATGATTTTTGGTAAAAATGTTCTTGCAACATTGAGCCTATTTGAGGATATACTCAGTTTGTTGAGTTATCTTCAAATGCATGTTGTCATTATTGGTTGATCTGAGCCTCCTAGCTGTTGTGTGGATCCCTACCGATAAAATAATCATAGATAGAAGAGATAGAAACTGTATGCTAATGAGCTTTTAATCCACTATAAACCAGTCAAACCAACAGTTTCCAGTTTGCTACATTTGCATTTCATGTCTCAATGGAGGACTGAAGGAACAGAACATTTCAACTTTCAATCTAACACACTGATCTTTATCCCCCACAGATTTCCACTCACCTGCATGACCTCGTCATTGTGTGTTTGATTACATGCTGTGTCACGATTGGGTTTTTTGTGCTCTCCCGTGTCACTCTGCAGGGTGCAGGGTAAGAGGAAGAGGGAGCCCTGCGTCAGAGTTTTAGGATGGCCAGTGAAGGCTCCACTCTTCCCAGTCCTGTCGTCCGCCAAATTGACAAGCAGTTCTTGATCTGCAGCATATGTCTGGACCGCTACGAAAACCCCAAAGTACTACCCTGCCTGCACACCTTCTGTGAGAGGTGAGTGGAACTACCAAGCTTTTTTCACAAAGAGCTAGTCGAGCTTGATGTGTCATTTCAGCTCCGTGTTCTGTTTTGGTAAAATAGGACTGTAGGACTTCATTACCACAGATGTGATTTGATAACGGTTAGCATTGTTTAACAAGAGATGGGGAGAGATGCTTTTGACTTGTGTGCGTTGGTCTCATTATCGCTGTTAACCGGCTTTTGTCTTTGACACAAAAGAGAGACTGTGGACGGTGCCTGGCTGTTCCCTGCACTCTGGTTGCTTCTGGGGTCATTGCGTTGTTACATTCAACATTATGTCATGCTGCTCTCTTTGTTTGGTGCATCATCTAATGGTGCATAGTGTTGAATTTCCCTTTAGATAAACGATAAACTTTATCTCATTGGCAGATGGTCCCTGACCATAATTATATTTCACAGTAATTTGCTCATGAAATTGAACCTGGGTAACTTGGTAAACCTCTAAATTGCAGTGTAACACTTCTTAAAGGCAGAAAAACATGATTACACTCCATATGTATGTTAAAAGGCGTTTCTAGCCTTGCATGCTTTTAGCCACAATCAACAACAAATGACACATTTTGTCCACTGAGAAATAGGGTGAGTGTATATTGAATACATATCATGACTATGGCCTGCATAGAAAAAAATATGATTTATCTCCAGGAAGGCTCCAGAAAATGTGTCATCAGATGAGATTTGTCAACCTGCGTTTTTTCAATGAAATGTTTCTAGTTAATTTGCCAGGATTTTGAGAACATCTGCTATGCAAAATGGATACAATTGTACAAAATCTCTCTTGTTTTGGGGAAATTTCTAAGTTCAAATTTATTTTATATTAATTAAATAACACCATGAAATTTCGAGTGTGGGGAGCCCTAATCACCCCACAGTTTTTTTTATTTTTGAACAGTAACTTCTTTTTGCTACTTCCATTTATGCTTCCATTTAAATTGATATCCTTCAACTTACAAGTTGGGAAGTATAGAGTGTAACAACACAACAATTACTTTAACTATCACCTCCACTGGAACAGTGTCAGCATGACGGCCACTGGTTGTTAAAAGCTGCCGCAGATTTCGATTCATGGTTAGCTTCCTGCGTTTGGTTGCCTATACCGGCAAAGCAGACGGCCAGGAAATAGTTATCACTCTCATGGTGTCAACGCCTTTAACCACTAGGTGGACTCAAAGGCAAAATATCATTCCGCAGACTTTAAGAACTGTGTTATTACAGATGACAGCTCAGATGAGGTCCATGCTTTTGCTGAACTCTAAGAATTCTAACCGTTTAATAAGAATAACATTTGATTAAATTAAAGAGGTCGTAAGAAATCATTTCCAAAAAGCTTTCACATTGCATCCTCTCCTATTGCAGGTGCCTGCAGAATTACATCCCAGTCCACAGTCTCACTCTGTCGTGCCCTGTGTGCCGCCAGACCTCCATCCTTCCGGAGAAGGGTGTGGCGGCATTGCAGAATAACTTTTTTATCACCAACCTGATGGACGTGCTTCAGCGGGCCCCAGACAGCTGCAGCCAGGAGGCCGCCGTTCTCAACAACATCACCGCCGTGGCCACAGGCCAGCTGCTCTCCTGCCCCAACCATGGAGGCAGTGTAAGAGCCACTCACCCAGTCTGCACAGGCATAATTACCTCCATAGTCAAATAGTTTTACCTTACCCTCTGGCTCTCAAAGACAGGTTTTGTCGGGTTTCCGATTATTTTTATGCTCATGCTCAGCCTAATTCAGCCTAATTCCAGCATTCTCTGATTTTATTCAAATTAAAAACCATTGGCTTTTTTTTTTTTACTCTAATCATAGTTCACAGGCACATATATATAAGATTACCAATTTGAACCTCCCTCAGGAGTAATGAGCAAAGTCTGTAAAGCTGGAATTCCTCCACTAAGGACCAGAACTAACCACTGTGGCTGAATGATTTTGGCTAATCTTCCAATCTGATCTTTTCCTTTCCTGCGTCTCAGATCATGGAGTTTTACTGTCCTCCGTGTGAAACGGCCATGTGTCAGGAGTGCACGAGCGGCGAGCACGGGGAGCACCCCACCGTGCCCCTCAAAGACGTCGTAGAGCAACACAAGGCCTCGTTGCAAGACCAACTAGACGCCGTCAAGAAGAGGTAAACAACAGGAATCACTGCGCTGTGCTACAGTCTTTGAATGCATCAGTTTCGAGCGATGACCATGACGACATGAGGGAATCCAACACAGCCCTCCTTTCTGTTCTCACTCCGTCATATGATGTTTGATCCTGCTGCTTCCAGGCTACCAGAGATCGACTCCGCCCTGCAGACGCTGTCGGAGATTCTGCAGCAGCTGACCAATCAGAAGAGCTCCATCGAAGACGACATCCATACCACTTTTGACGAGCTGCAGAAGACCCTCAACGTGCGGAAAAGTGTGCTCCTCATGGAGCTGGAGGTCAACTACGGCATCAAGCAGAAGGTGCGGGCCTCCGCCTTTAGACCGGAGTTTGGCTGCTGCAGTGGGTTAGGTTCTGTCATATAGCTGTTTTTTGGCACTAAAGATAAGTGTGATTGGGATGTTAAAACAGAGGGGAAGGACCTAGCTGTTTTCGTCTGGTTCTAAAATGGTTTCTGCTGAGACGGATCGCTTCCCTTACGAATCACAGACCATCCTCCAGGCTCCTGTTTGTCACGGTCTCAGCGGGACTGACAGGCGGTTAACCAGTTGAAAGCAGGGAGGTCGGGGAGTCGATGCGCCACCCCGACCAGATATCCAATCCTCCTGTTGGGATTAGAGCACGCTGCCGCTCCCTCTGGGGTTTCATCACACGGCCTGCTAATGATTTACAATTGACTGACTGGTGGAGAGTCAACGGTCAGGAGCCCCAGGGGAAACGTATCTGTTTTTTTTTTTGCCGAAGCTAGATGGAGCCCGTGTGCTGCGTTGAGTCTATTTCTGAGTGGATTCGGGTGTGTCCTGTGCTATGAGGGAATACAGTACAGTTTTCTCACCATGCCGACAACTTCTTGACCTCGATCTCAGATTTCACAGTGTGTGCAGAGAACATTTAGTTTGTTGAGGTTCGGGGTGAAAGCTGAGGGAATTTGGGTGAACATTTCTTTCCAGTTTGAAAGAAAGAGCTTAATGGCTTCCCTGTTTGGAAATGAAGTTGACCATGGTGGCCAGATGTGGGTGAGTTAGCGTGGGTGAGTGTGTTAGCACTGTAAGATTTAGAAAAAATGGTCTGTCAAACTTTTGTTCTGTGGTTTTCTGACCTCTGAATTCTGCAGCACCATACAGACTTGTGGAATGCATGACTCATACTTTACGTGTCTTATGTCACCAAACACTTAAATTGCTCTCATGATATTATGTATTCACAATGGGAGGGGGGGGCGGGAGACATTGAGAGATTGTGAAAATATATATATATTTGTCCTGGGAAAAAGTAGATTGAAACTACTGAAACATTTTTGCAGGTGATAAACTGAAGTGGATTAGACCCATTATGAACATATTTAAAAGGCACCCAGACCATGATATAATGATAATATCACAGAGGGAACGCTCTAGGTCAGCACAAGATGATGTAATCACTTTCTGTCGCAGCAGTAAATCTGCCAATGAGCATGTCTGAAAATGCAGAACTCTTGTGGTTCATAAATAATAATTCAACTTGAAATGAAATAACATAAACTTTTCCATTTCCTACCCTGTTTCTTAACGACCCAAAAACAACCTTTATGCTGGAAATCTTGTCTTCTGTCATTTGTTTCCATCGTGTAAAGCACTGAAGCTGGTCGTGTGTCATTGGGGCTTGTCAGCATGAAAGTGTCTCTTTATGTATATTTTAAACCTGGTTTGCTCAGCCAGACACCAAATACAAACAATAAGTTAAAAGTAACTTGTGGATGAAAGAGTTTCTCTGTTGAAAATAGCTGTTTTGTTCATGTTTTTCCAACCACTTCTCTACCCTCTGCGTCCCCTCGTGTGTCCGTGTGCAGGTGCTCCAGGCCCAGCTGGATACGCTGCTGCAGGGCCAGGAGGGCATCAACAGCAGCTGTAACTTCACCGAGCAGGCCCTGAGCCACGGCACCGAGGCCCAGGTGCTGCTGGTGAAGAAGCAGATGGGCGAGCGTCTGGTGGAGCTGGCCAGCCAGGAGCTGCCCCTGCAGCCCGGAGAGAATGACCAGCTGGACTTCCTCGTGGAGACAGAGGGACTGAAGAAATCCATCCATAATTTGGGCACTATCGTGACCACAAACGCGGTGGCCTCTGAGACTGTGGCGACGGGTGAAGGGCTACGGCACTGCGTGGTGGGAGTTCCCACATCCATCACCATAACCACTAAGGACAAAGACGGGGAACTGTGCAAGATGGGCAACGCAGCCATCACTGCTGAGATCTCCTCACCCGACGGCAGCAAAAGTGACGGGGAGATGCTGGACAACAAGAATGGCACCTATGAGTACCTATTCTCTGCCGCTAAGGAGGGCACCTATAATCTGTCACTGCGTTTATACGACCGACACATCAAGGGGAGTCCCTTTAAGATAAAGGCCACAAAAGCCATCGACGTGTCACCGACTTCAGATGGCTCGAAGAAGAGGCTGAAGTCCCCCGGCAGTGGGCACATCAAGCAGAAAGCCTTCAAAAGGCCGGCAAGCATGTACAGCACCGGGAGGAGAAAAGAGAACCCCATTGAGGACGACCTCATCTTCAGAATCGGTGAGAACGACTGTCGAGTAGTCAGTATTACACAATTAAATATGGAATTGTATTATACATAGTAGTGTGCTCGTATGATTTAGGCTGGGGTTTGTTCATTTAAAAAAGTAATTTTCTATTGTACTGATTCATTTTGAAGGTGAAAATAATAGAAATCTTGTCTATGAGGGTTCAGGCAGTGTTCAAATTAAAAAGGTAAACATGATAGATGTTGTCTCACAAGCATTTAAAAAAAGGTATGTTCCTCTATTCTTATTACTTTACATCAAGTAAAGATATAAGAGTTGGCTAAAGGCTTTTGCCCAGTGTTGTATGCTGTACAACTGGTTGAATGAATGTCGGCAAACAGTTCAAAAGCAGCACCTTGTATCACTCAGTCCAACCTAAACATGGCTGCAATGCATGTCTTGCAGGCACAAAAGGGAGAAACAAAGGGGAGTTCACCAATCTGCAGGGCGTGGCTGCCTCCTGTCTGGGAAAGGTGCTGATCGCAGACAGCAACAACCAGTGTGTTCAGGTACAAATGCTGGAATGATGTCTGCAGCCCTCAGAGAGAAAGAGCAGAGTAGCAAGAGGTCAAACAAGTGCTTCCTCTGCTTTTTGCCATCCACCACTTCCTCTCATAAGGCTAACTACAGTATAGCTTTAGAGATGAAACGTGTATTACAGCAGATTTGAATTTTATGGTGCCCTGCAGATTTTTTCCAACGATGGCCTGTTCAAAAGTCGTTTTGGCATTCGGGGCAGGACCCCGGGTCAGCTGCAGCGGCCCACGGGTGTGGCTGTCCACCCCAATGGCGACATCATCATTGCTGACTATGACAACAAATGGGTCAGCATCTTTTCAAGTGAAGGCAAGTTTAAGGTGAGTGGCTGTTATTTAACTGCTATTACACTTAAATGTACTGTAAAATGTAATGTGGGGCAACCTCTGTGAAATTATACAATGGAAACAACAGGGCCATTTCACCAATACACAGTCACTACTATAATCTGTGCGGCTACCTCTTTTAACATCCTAGAAATCTGAAATCAGGTGTGTAACAGAAATCGGAAATCTTTCTCTTGCTAGAACAAAATCGGCTCAGGGAAGCTGATGGGACCTAAAGGCGTGGCGGTGGACAGGAACGGCCACATCATCGTGGTGGACAACAAGGCCTGCTGCATCTTCATCTTTCAGGCCAACGGCAAGATGGTCACCAAGTTTGGTAACCGAGGCAACGGTGACAAACAGTTTGCAGGTACACTAAATGGTAAATCTGTGCAGTGCCCCTTGTGACCTAATTTCACCAATCGGCCTTCTTGGCGTATTTTGAAATGACTGCAGTCATTTTGGTCATTCATAAGCAAAGTTTTCACTAAACAGAACGTTACATTACTAATAGTGTAATGGACGGCTTTGCTTAAGATAACTCAGTCAATGATGATACCTACAGCTTTTCTTTTTCTTTTACTGCAATACTGTTGCATTGCATGTTTTGCACATAAATGCATCGATTTAGTTTCCTTAGAGAGCAGAATTTGGCAGTTGCCCTAAACATGTTCCGTTTTTCTGTGATCCGGTCCAGGCCCACACTTTGCTGCCGTTAACAACAACAACGAGATCATCGTGACGGATTTCCACAACCACTCAGTCAAGGTGAGAGCCGGTTGAGGGCATTGGAGGTGTATTCCAGGTGGTTTTGCTATTTTAATAGACCTTGACGTTCTAGTCTTTCAGATTTTCAGGAATATATTGCCAAAGATGCAGTAATTGTAACAATATTTGTGTATATTTGTTGATACCAGAGTCATTGTGTCTTATTTCTTTTCTAATCATGTCAATTATTTCCATTATGTCCATTTCTTTTTTTATGCAGAAAAATAAAAACATAAGGACAAAAGAAATATGCTGACTAGATTCCAGTAGTCAAGATCAGGTTATCATGAAGCGTTTCTGTCATTATGAGTAGCCCCTTGGAACCGAAAGATTTGGTTCTGAGCATTTCTTTGTTGCGTAGATTAAATGCATGACATAAAAGAAGACAGAAATGTTTCACATTTGTGGAAGAAACCCTCAAACTTTATGGGCTGATAAGAATTTTTGGCTTTACTTTATTATCACCACCATGTTTTTCTCTAGTAAGTTAAATATATTGTGGCGCTGTTGTTTCCTCTCCAAAACCCAAAATGTAGGTATTTAACACAGAAGGGGAATTCTTGCTGAAATTTGGTTCCAACGGTGAAGGCAATGGTCAGTTTAACGCCCCCACAGGAGTGGCAGTGGACATCAATGGAAACATCATAGTCGCAGACTGGGGAAACAGCCGGATACAGGTCAGCAGAGGGTTCAAATCATAAACACATCAAAATATGTACGTTCAGAGTACTGCTAGTACTATTTTAATTGACAGCATATTGAAACTTAACTTTATTTTTTCCCGCATAGAGCAGAATGAATAAAACAAACCGATGGCCATTATTAGAAACGCAAACTCATCTCTGATGACCTCCTTTTTCTCTCTGTCAGGTGTTTGATGGCAGCGGTTCTTTCCTCTCCTACATCAACACGTCAGCGGACCCGCTCTACGGCCCACAGGGACTGGCCCTCACCTGCGACGGCCACGTTGTGGTCGCAGACTCTGGGAACCATTGCTTTAAAGTCTACCGCTACCTGCAGTAGCGCAATCTCAAGGCACAACCTGTGAAGTGTGTGTATTTATAGACAGGCTCACACATAGTAGAAATAGACTGGAACACCGTTCACTCATCCACCCACCTACTCGTTCACGAATGGAGCTGCCGTTGTGCCATCTGTTGGACTTGTTTCCTCATGTTTGAATTCCGGATGTTGAGAAGTGACAGAATAGAATTTAGGTACAAATTAAGCAAGAGGATCTCAGATGTCTATAGCATGCTGCTGCCGACTGGTGCTTTGAAGAGTCGATCATAACTTTGTCCCCATTCCATCTACAGTTTAGGGATTTTAAAAATGAAGCTTCAACAGTTAACTTGCGGTAGACCTGTGATATCTCAACTCATTGCAGAAAACTAAGGATCAACACTTGTGCATTTGTACTGAAATTACTGGCGTGTTAGGTGAGAGAAAATTCAATAAATGTAACTTATTTACCTGAATGATAGTGGGTGATAGAAACATTTACTGCAGTTTAATGTTAAAATGTCGTCACGAGTTCTCTCAATCCGTCTGGTCACTTGGCTGGAAAAATATTGCACCTTTTGCATTGTAGGATGCCTTGAGCATGATGAGGCATTGCTGGTGATGTTGTTTTTACAGACTCCACCACGTATGCATCACTGAGTTTTCAACATCATCATAGAAAAACAGCAGCACTATTATAACAAGAACCCTAGATGTGAAACCAAATATCATCTGTTGTCATTTTACATCAACAAACAGCCCAGTTATCATTAGATTGATGTTTGAGAACCAAATATGTGTTTGTGTGAGTGTTGCTCCTGTGGATTTTGGATGTGTGTGAATCCTGTCAACAAGTTTATCTTGCAGTCCACTGTGGTCATGTGCAAACACCAGCTAAAATGCAGAGAACAAATGTGACATTTGAAATCTAACCACACAAGAAGCAGAGCTGCGGAAGTGGGAACACCATCACTGCTCTTCATGTGCTCTTATGTCTTTTCAATAGAAACTGTAGAGTTATTAGCAGGTTGAAGTGTAGTTAAATTTATATCTATATTAACACAAATGCAACTTCTAGTTTGACACATGAAGATGTGTCTGTTGTAAAATATGCACATATTTTCCTCTAGACAGCCTTGTTCGGTGTTTGTCCTCAAGCACACAATTGTTGGCATTTCTTGTCCTAATTTGGTCATTCATTTTCTACACAAATCCTGTAAATTTATTTCATTGTCTTGTTTATATTTTTAATGCCAAATGAAATTAAAGTGCCCACAAAAAATAACCCTGTCTGGCATGATGTTTTTTAAATTCAATAAGGCCGATAAGTTTATTGCTATTAAAAGGCCCTTTAACCATTGTACCAAGTCACAGTTTTTCACAGACCTCAACCAAATAACTTCTGACTGAACTTTTTATTGTTAGTTTTATTGTAAAAAAAAAAAAAAAAAAAAACAGCAGAGGGCGTCTCTGACTTCATTTTGATAAAGTCATCCACGTAGGACTGATGTTGCCTTCAGGAACCATCAGAATAAAACCTGACATAAACAAATCTTGTCTGACACATATTCCATAATAACAATTGAAAAGATTTTATTTTCTGAGACATGTGCAAGAAGTATTGTACTAGTACTGGTTATGATCTAATATACGAGGATCGAGACTGTCAACAATGCCCCTGCTGAAACATTACAGGCTCATTGTATTTACGAGGTAAGTTGAATCCAGCATTGATTTCGGACATTCTTCCGCGGGAAATTCAGTGAAACACGAACGAGCGAAAACGGTGTATCCTGGCATTAAAGAGTACATGAAACGTTAATGGTAGTGGTTGTTACTGCAGTCCACTTCGCAAAATGGTAAGCTAGTTTTCACTATATCATTCAGTTTTTGTGACTGTTCAGGGCAGACGAGTTTATCTCATGTAGCCGCTTCTAAGCTAATTCATAACAGGGCTAGAGGCAACATTGCCCCGCTAATGACAGGATAAAGCAAATATCTTAACATTTAATGCAACCAATGGGAATCAGGTCACTTATACAGCATGCATGTGACTTGTATATTGTGTATATATATGGAGAAATAATCAATTATTTTACGGGGATCGATTAAAATACGATATCGACATCGATATTATAATTTTGAAAATTAGCTCTAAAAAGAAAATTGAGCATGAGAGGAAATAATACAGCCATTAAGAAGCTATTTTGTACTCGTTAAGTTAAATAAAGTACATGTAAACCTCTTCTTTGGCTTTATTGGATTTTATTTTGGGTGGACCAACAAGAATCCAGGCGCATTTCCGCCCCCTGGTGGAAAGGGTGTGAAACTGCTATTTTTAGACCATTAAAAAAAAGTCTAACTTGCCACTTTAGAAAAAATATACCAACATGAATGGATGGAAAACCCTGATGACACCGTTGTTCCTAAATACTTGGTAGAATTTGATCAGCACAAAGAGGAGATTTAGTCCTTAATATCATGTGTTTTCTAAGTTAGATTTTGTTTAATGTTTCAGAATCAGAAAAACTTTATTGCTAGGTACTATAGAAACATTTTGCAGGATTAAGATATGTGATGAATGGTGCATTGTGATCTATCAAACTCTAACAGTCAAAGAAGAAAGGACTGAGTTTGGAGGAGAAGAGAACTCGCATGATGGAGATATTTTTTGAGTCGGTGAGTTCCTCCATTGTCTCTAACATCACCGTCATTAAACTGAAGGTCGCTGTTTCAATTGTTCTGCAACATGGATTTAAATGATTGCATTTCATGCAATATATAATGTTCTATAACTTTATGTTATGATGGGGTTTTTTGTCACTGAGAAAACGCAAAGTGTCGACATTTCTTACATCAGTCTAGGCTGCAATCTTTTTGTTTGGGACACAAAGCCAAGCCTGGAACATATTTCTAAACCAAAGCAAGTGTACACACGAACAGATGTGTTAATGTGTTCATACTGTAAGAAACATGCACGTCATGTCTCGTGTTACACAACTGCATGATTTTAAAATGAGTAAAGAGAGCCAGCAAACTAAGATAAGCTGTGTCGTGTGTGGTGTGCAGCTTCTGTTCCAATGACAATGCAGAAAGCCACTTTCAGGACTCTGAAAACTCTTGCTTGGCAAACAGGTCAGCAATCTGTTGATCTGACTTTTTAGGGACTGCCCAGCTCCCTGACTTTACACTATCTTTTTTTTTTTTGGGCTGCCTTCTGCCAGAAACAGCCCCCTCAGAAGAGCTTCTAAATTTTAGTTGCACTTCTGTCAACAGCTGCTAGCTTTATATCGTGTTGTTTGATTTCCACCTTTCTCTTTCCAGAAAGACGTTTTTCAGCTGAAAGACATTGAAAAGATTGCTCCAAAGTCAAAGGGCATATGTGAGTAAGATCACCAGTTTAAACAGCTACTTTTGTTTATGTGCTCCCCCTCAACTGTTTAAGAGCATAGGTTAAAACAATGATAGCAAAAGTTAAACAATCTAAAAGTTTCTATTCTTATAAACCACTTTAAACTACCATAACAAATATATGTAACTTGTAGCCAATATATGTGTAATTTGTAACAATATAATTATTGTTGCAACTTTTAAACAAAAAAACAAAAAAAATTTAAGTAGAAAATGTAAGTAGTTGTTGTTACATAAAGGATGATCATTTAAAATGGACAAATGACCCATGAGACAGATGCAGCATTCGTAATAAATCAGACTGCATTGGTGTTTTTCTTCTCACAGTGACTGTACAGACAGTATCAGCAAGCACTGCACCATCATGCATTTTTGAAAACACTGTGATAATGTTCTTATAGAATTGCCATGGCAACCCGGACTGGCTGTTACTATCGGAGCTTTATTTAGTCTGTGGAAACAGAACGTGGTTTATCAGTCCGGGTAATCTCCCAGTGCAGAGAGACCGTTGAAAACTTGGGCTCTCAAGGTAAACATGTTTCCTCAGTGGCAGCGTGACTTTATGCCCGCTTAGGGAAAAGTCATTCAAAAAAATAAATCAAAACATGTTTGTTTTTTTGTTTTTTAAACGCCAGACCAGCCATGAAAACATAGCTGTGCAGAGTGAATTTGAGGGAAATGAAGAAGGGATTTGGTTTAATGCGAACAAAATATTAAACAGGAGAAATTGAATCTTGTGTCTGTGATTAAAAGCACATGGGTTTGAGCCCTGCACTGAGGCCTAATGTAGTTACAGGGTGCTGGGGGGAGGGGGCAGCAAGAGTGCTACGCCGCAGGTCCATTTTCCTGCAGAATGAGAGAAAAATGGTGAGAAAGGGGCCAATAGAGAGATACCAGCTGAGCGCAGAAGATAGTGGCAAGAAACCTGCTGGGAAGCAAAATAACAGGCAGACAAAAACAGAAAAGGTCATTAAGAGTTATGCAAATCCATCCAGCATTCTTTCTTCATTTTCATCCTCGTTGCCAGTCTTGTTTTTGCCGCTGTTCAACATTCTCATCAGATTAGCGCATGTAGTCTGACGGCAGGAGCTGTACAAAGTGAGTGGGAGGTAATCATTTCACCGCTCGCACGGCTCAAGATGGAACTCTTGCTTTGCAGCATCCTTCACTGAGGCTCTCAGACAAGCCTTCAACACACAGGAGCTGCTGGGGGGTTGGTACTATTTGCCAGCATTAAAAAAAAGTGTGTCTCAGCCAAAAGCGTTATTATACCTAACTTTAGGTCCTCATTGTATCTCCACTAAGATCCAAATACAGGTTAGCTGCTACTGTTTGCAACTCCTTTGTAAATCGACTGGCCACGAGCAGAATCACAAATCCAGAAATAGCTCCCACTTCTCTGTCAGGCCGTAAAAAGCTAGGTTAAAAAGCCCGCTACTCATGCTTTCTGCTGCCCTCAGCCCCCATGACTGTGAAGGAGGTGCTGCAGAGCCTGGTGGATGACAACATGGTGGACTGTGAAAGAGTTGGAACGTCCAATTACTACTGGGCCTTCCCCAGTAAGGCTGCCAATGCCCGCAAGCACAAACTGGAGGAGCTCCAGAAACAGGTGAGAACGGTCAATCAGATGCATAGGCCTCATTTATATTTGTTCATTCCTTAGAACTGAGAATAGCTGATAGTTAACAGCAACGGTCGGACAGGAATGAAGTGGCATCCAGAGCAGCGATAGCTTTGAGCGCCACCAGTGAAAAGGCGAGGCCTCTTTCTCTGATGGTGAAATGACAGCCTGTCTCCCTGGTTCTCTCATTTGAAAGGATGTGATGTCACGTTTCAATTCTTAGCACTGGGACATGGTTACATTAAAATGTAAGCTACGTTATAGTTTTTTTTAAGACTGAGGAGAGTTCATTTTATTCGGCTGACAAAGGAGCTTGGAGGTCTCACACAAGCACTCGCCCAGAGTTTGTTCTAAAGTTCAAAGCACAGCTTTTTGTCTCGTTGGAGTACGGATAGGACACTTTCTGCTGAAGCGTAAGGAGGTCAGACAGTGATAAACCTGGCTCCAAAACCACCAGAAAAGAAAGCAGAGGAGGAAGACATAAATAGCTTCTTTGCCCTTTTTGAAGCTCATGTTCATCAACAGATTAATCTTTTTATTTAGATTTACTATGAATATGAGAAGCACAGAAAGGAAAATAAAAGCAAGCTTCATTTAGAAGAAACGTGAGCTGGAAAAGCATGTTGCAGACTCTTTCAGCCATTTTTCTGCTGGCATAAAGTCACAGTGCTCATCTTTGATTGTCTCGTGGTCTGTGATGACCCACTTCCTCTTGTGTGGCAGGTCTGACAGATGGTGTGAAATTGGCAACTCCTCTGAGCCACCACACTTTTTGGGGCAGATGTGGAGCTTCAGAGAGATGTTGATTTAGACTTAATGTGACATAATACAACTGGTGATACAACACGACCGTTTTGTTCATTGGAATGGCTGTAGAATTTCACCACCTGTTTATACACTGGATGTTTTAGTGTAATTACTGTCGCTTTTGGAGCTGGTGAATTTTTGCTTTGGGATCAACCTTTATAACTTTCAAGATAATCTTGTTGCAGGCAATTTCTCTAAAGCTTCAAACAGCCCCGTTATTGAGTTGGTTTTAGTTTTTTTTTTTATTACCTAACCTATATCTAAGATAACTGCTTTCCTGTATTCATTGTATTGAACTTTGACTAGATATTCTATATTGCAGTTCAAATAACTCAATTTGCCTACAGACGGTGTTGATGTCTTGCTGTGTGATTTGAAGATTTCAGATGGGAAGCAGCGCAAACTGTCTGTACAGAAAGCAGTCGAAAAGGCAAAAGTGGGACGCCAAGATACGGTAAGGACAGGTTTATAATGAGCCATAACAATTCAGAAAGAAATGAACGAACTACACTAGATGGGTGAAACCTAATAAAAAGTGTCTCTGTGTAGAAAGAAAGAAGCTCTCTGCTGAAGGAGCTGCAGGCTCTGAGAGAGGAGCGAACGCAGCTGAACAGCGAGCTGGATAAGTACCGCGAGTGTGACCCAGAAGTGGTTGAACAGATGAGTGAGTACATGTAAAGCATAGATGTTCAATACGCTCTTCCTCTGTTCAGCTGCACGCCCCAAACTCTACCGTAGCTAGTTCATTACTGAAAGTTTCACTTCATTGACGATGTTGCCAAAAATCATACCGAGCTCAGCAAAAGCACACACAACCACTTAAACCGTGTCATACCAACTCAGTTTGGGATGAAAATGCTGCACATTTTTTCACCGTGCTTTCCTCCACTTTGAAGAAGATGTTAAGCCAATATTTATGTTTTATGCTTTTAAAAACCAGGACAGTTGTGATTTCAGACTTAGAGATGAAAAAAGGCAAAATTAAGAACACTTCTCAAAGTAGTAAAACTTGCAATATGTATCTTTATGTATAAAGATTAAAGTCTTCTGGAAGCACTTGTTTGCAGGGGGCTGTCACTATAGTCCAGGAGATGATAGGCTTTAAAATCAAAGCTTGAAGTCGTGGAAGCTGTAAGCTCTGATTTTTGTTCAGTAGAACATTTGGCTGCCGTATAACACGAAAGGACTAATCAGCTCACATTAAACTGTTTGCATCCACTGAGGTTTAAAAGGGGAGGTGAAGGAAGGAGCTGGCAGCATCCAGGGCAAAACTTGGATGCTGACCAGAATCCCAAAATTAGGCCCTCACACATTTCAATAAAAGCTATCTCTACATTTCATATAATTTTCTTTTCTTTTGATTCACATGGAGCCTTTCAAAAAGAGAAAGTTTAGTTTTGGCTTTTTGGGGAAAATAGTTTATTTTTTTGTAGTTGGGGTTAAAGGATGTAACAAATACAGAAGTGGAGCATTATCTCTTAATCTGAAGTTAATGGAATCCAGCATCATTTATAGGCTTAAAGATTAACAATTTTCCATACTGACCAGTCGACTTCAGAGTCAGCAGCAGCCAACACATCTGCATGCAGCTGGATTGTCTGGAAAGCAAGATGTTCAGGCATGTATGTGGTGTGAGCACCGCTCTGTTCTCACTGCACAGCTGAGAACACACGCATTCATTCTGATACACGTTCATGTCCGCTTTGAATATCAACATGAACCTTAAACTGGTTAAATATTTACACCCGACAACAACTGTGAACAGCACAAGACTTCGTACTTTGTAACGACTGTTCCGGCAGGGCTGCTGGTAACATTTGGGGAGGACGCAGGGGCGTGGCCACTTTGCATGGACGCCACGATTAGGCCTCACGGTAGAGCAAGCCTTTGATGGTAATGCGAAAAAAAACCCCTGCACTTAGTGTTTGTGTTATGGGGAGTGTCTGGACCTGCCCATGTGACATTTGTAGTGTCATAAAAGTAGCCGCTCTGTTTGCCGACACCTCCCAGCGTTACACCAGACCTGGATTTAGTTTACTGTTTTTTTCCCTTCACCGTGCTGACAGAGCTGTTCTCCCTGCAAAAAGTTGATCCACACATCCTTTCAAGCTAATTATCTTTTTTTGTTTTATTCAGAAATTAAATTTTTTGCTCCCAAAACTAAACCAGTTATATCAAATTATCCCCTTTCCAGATAAATTCAAATAATTAATGAGGGATGAAAACGACTGATATTTGAATGAGTTGATCAATGCCGGTTTCAAGTCGGTGAACCAGTCGGTGTCGAGTGTGAATTACCACCCCAAAGCTTTCCCACATTATTGTGGGAGCAGTCTGACGAAGGTAGGAGCTGGAAATATTTATGCAAACAAGACTGGATGAGTCTTAACTGCTGCATTCGCACAAATGCGCGGCGGAGGGTTAATATGACAAGCGGTTAGGTGTCCTCAGGTGCAGTCAGTCCATCATGTTTTACTGCCTTTAAGCCCTCACGAGCCCCAACTCTTCAGCAAGCTTAGACTTGCAAGAAAGTGATATTTTCAGCTGCACGTATGGCCTTTGTGGTGTGTAGTAATGTAACTTCCTTTTTCACATACTACTTCACTTACATACTATTTGAGAAAACTGCCCCTCTGTTAAACTTTAGACTGTACGTCCAACGCTCAAATGTTTTCCTGCATTTGTTTTTTTCTTTTGTGCTTCTTTTGGGATGGATAGAGGCTGTCAAAAATACAAACTAGGAAGTAGCTTTAAATAGAATGTCTTTTTTTTCTCCTTTTTTTTTGAGAAGAAGAAGAAAATGTTTCATCACGTGGTTACCACCCAGTTTCCTCATGTGAAAGTTTTGTACTGCACTTTATTCTCAACCAGTCACATCTAAATGGCTTTTTGGGAGCTTTGGGGACAGAGGAAGAGCATGCTTTCAGCATGTATTAAAATATCTCCCACACACCCATTCCAGAAAGAAAAAGAACTCTCTCCCTTTTTCTCCCTTTCTCTCTCTTGCTCACACACACACACACAACACACACAATAACCATTTCCCCTCAGCGAAGCTAACGATGTGCTGAGAGAGCTGCGTGTAGCTCTGTGCTCAGAGTATCACTTTATGTTATGTCTTCTGCAGAGAGGAGTGTGTTTGAACTTGCAGTGCGAGCTCAGGCCTGTACCTGCACTATCTGTGCAGTTTAGTCTTAAACAGCACCATCAGTACACCTATTACACATATCTTCATTGTATTTTAGATTTACCGGCCAAAGGGACGTGTGGAAATCCCTTTTCAAGTTGTCTAATAATAATAACATTCTTCTAAACGTTATTTTAAAAGAAGTACCGTAAGTCCGAATTACAGAAGAGGAAAAGCTTAGACGGCGTTTTTTTTTCTTCCACATATTGACCAAACCGTGGTGGAGAAAAACACACAGTACTGTATTTTCTGTTGGAATGCTGTCCTGTTTTCCAGTGCATGTTTGGCAATGGTTACCACACCCTACAGTAGATATTATTATGGCAACCAGTGGGATTCAAACCTGCAATGGTCTCTGAAAAGAATTCGAGCTTCAATTCACCTGTTTTATCCAACGCAAGTTCTGTGTTGGTGCACATTTCTCCTTTTTGTCAGAATTAAACCTTTGTGGATGTTCAAAATACGGAGAGGTGTAATGTTGACAAAATTCAAACAAAATGTGAAAAGAGCTTTGGAGGAAAGCCTCACTCTCTGGAGTGGCTGGCTGTAGGACCTCTGCAAAGACAGAAGCTTTTGACAGTTTTATTTCTTTAGTCATTTTTTTTCTTTTTTGTCAAAATAAAAAATTATTCAACATTTTTGGCACCCGAAAGTCTTCCTAGGACCTTTTCTGTTTGTATTTCTACGATTGCAAAAGCACATCTGTACTTGCTCAGCCCCTGAAACCAGGTTCTGAACTAATAGATGACTTTCATGTGGTTTTACTGTTCACACACTGATCATGGATTTTGTGTTGCAGGAAAGGCCAATGTTGTAGCAAAAGAAGCCGTTTCCAGGTGGACAGGTAGGTCAATTTCACTCATGAGTGAACCAAGCTGCAGGAATCTATCCATCATAAGAAAAATAATTCATCCTTATGCTCAATGCTCTCAGCAGCCCAAGTGAAACAGAAATTCCTCTTAGATTTAGTTATGTAAAAAAAACGAAAACAAACACATTTGTCAACCCGAGTAACACGTGTACACATCTGTACTTTGGATAATCAGGAGCTAATGAAGCCTTTTGGATATTAAGTCACTTCCAGTGTTCTTGACCTTAACAAAGTTGGAATTGTACGGTCCACATGGCGTCTCCTGTCACCACTGTAGCCAAACGCTTACCAGCAAAGCTAAATATTCCACCACAAGTTTACCACAACTATATTTTAGAAGAGTTCAGTGGATTTACAGGAAAGGCCATTTTGTTAAGATACTGCTGGAAACTGACTTACTTCCATTTGACTGTAGCTTTGTAATAATGCTGAGTCACACCCGCACAAGCCTTGACACATTTGATCACCGCTTTTATCAAGAATGTAATGCGATGATCCAACAGGAATGATGTAAAAGAGATAAGTGATAGTGTTATTCTTTTCATTTTTTTGGCTTCAGTTCTTGATATAAAATCTGTTTCGTGTACTTTTCTAAAATACCCTTTTTCTTCTGTAAAACTACAGAGAAAAAACACATTATAGAGGAGTAAATTATTTTGATGCTAAATAGTGGAAAACTTGTGTGATTTTATTTTTAAAGGCTTGTATATCCCTGAACATTGGTAAGATCCTTATCAAGGCTAAATCAGATTAATCAGATCCTAATCCTAATTGTTGGAACATATTTAAGGAGGTAATAATCCAAACCTCCAGCCAAATAATTCAGCTTTGCCCAAATAAAGACTCAGGAGCCTCAGAACAGTTGAGCTGATGGTTTTGACTTAAGACTCAACCAACATTCTCACATCCAGGACTCTTCTCCTGTCCCAGTCATTCATCTTAGTAACTCTGAATGAGACGAGGCTCTCTGATTAATTTCTAAAACTATTTCTGCTTTCAGACAATGTTTTTGCCATCAAGTCCTGGACAAAGAAGAAGTTTTCCTTCGATGACAGCCGCATCAATAAAGCCTTTGGCATACCTGAGGACTTTGACTATATGGAATAAGGACTTTTTAGGGAGACACAAAAGTATTTTGAAGCTTTTGTGTGAAAACTTCTTCCTGTTCTCTGCATTTCTTGTCTTGTTTTCTGTGTTGGAGGGAAAATGAAAGCAGCATGATCTACTCGTACAGCCCCGGGTGGGATGTGGCTGATTTTGCTGTTCCAGATGGACTTTATCAGCAGATATGTTGCTTTGGTGCAACCAGAGAGGAAGCTGAGCCAACCATGAGTGGCTTTGAGGGGTGAATGTTAGAGAGCAACCTGACTTCTTGGACACCTGTTTGCATGAAAGCTGAGAGCTCCAAGCTGGTGATGGAAAGGAATCAGCACACTGCATCTGTATTTCAAACGGCTGCGTTGATATAGTTTAAACAGATGGATCGGGAAATACTTTGGACCCCTTCCTCTCAGTTTGCTTTTCATTTACTTTTCAGCAGTCGGTTGAGTTGACTTTGAAACGGGACTCATGGCAGAAAAAAGTTGTGTATGTTTAGGATATGTTGTATGCACAGTGTATGTATTTTTCTTGTACGTTTAATTTCTGTTAAATCTTTCTTGAATATGCTTGTATGGACATATATTTTTTTTTATTCATTTGTTTTGTTCTGACTAAAGTTAGTATGGAGTGTGTAAACATTTACAACATGGGTTTTGTGCTCTGGTCAGTTGCGAAGACCTCAATAGAGCTCCTTACCAGGGCTACACTCTTAATTTCAAAACAAAAAAAGGAACTAAGTGGTATTGACATGTGTAACATGACTGCTGTTTCCCTCCTTCAGCTAAAAGAAATGCCAAACGTGTAAAACTGGTAGCTAGCGCTCCGTGTTTACTTATTTGACCTGGTTGATGAGACCAATCTGTCTTGGTTTGCTGATTTGAATTTCAAATATGTTCTGTGCTCATCTTCCCCTGCTCAGTTTCCCTGCCAGTAAATGAACAAGTTTCCCCCAGTTGCAAATAAAGATTTGCACATTGATTGTGCAGGTGATATGTCCTCAGTTTGGTACACTGCTAAGTGTAGCCACACTCATCCTGCAAAGAAAAACCTAAAAGAACTTGACTTCTGGGCTGCAGTTTGCAGGGACACACCCACATGTGTGAAACATTGCTTCATGCGTGTACCTGCCCAACCTGTCCTAGCAATGATTCATGACCCTGACATGCTGTGTGTCAACACTCAAAGAAATTGGCACATAGTTTTACCTGACAAACTCTGAGAGTGCAATTACTGCTACTTGTCTCGTTAAAAGTGGCTCGTCCTCAAAAGAGAGCGATAAAGTACACTGGTTCCTCCTTTACGTTAGATGTAATTCTTATTTCATTAAGCATGGGAAAGTTTATACTTATAAACAAGCATGTCACATCTTCTGTTTAAACTGGTCAGTATTGTTAGCCATAAGAGGGTGGGATGGAAAAAGAGGAAACAAGCACAGCTTTTCAATCTTATCTTTTTGTTGTTGTTATATTAACCTTCAACTACAGACTGCTTAGACAAATTATTCCCATATGTATGTTTTAAGTCTTAAGGTTGAAAGTGGTAAAATAGTCATATAAAACACGAGTTAAATGATAAAGTCCCCTAATGAATTCCATCATTTTAGTAAATATAAGCACATGCAGATACATCGTGTAAAGTAAAGGCACAGAGGAAAGATTTAAAGGGCTAAACCATGAGAAAAAAAATGCTCAAAGGTGCATATTTTTGCGTCATCCCCATAGAATATTCCTGTGCCAGACGGCATACTTTGGATTATTTGTAAAGATTTGTAAATGTAATTTGTGGTATTGTTAAATGTGAGTTAAATTGTTTGTTTTCCTCTTGTGGAAACAGCTTCTACAAGCACCTTAAGCACCAAAAGCTTAAGTATGATGACAGTTACCATTCCATGTGTGCATTGATATTTACATGGACCTGGAACTCATTTTTCTTGTCAATTCAACCTGTGGTGACAACTGAATGGATGTAAGAGCGTGGAACTGGAGGTAAAGCATCACACGGATAGTGTTGAATTATGATCCAATAACACCTGAAGTGTTCAGTAAAATGTGTTGGGTTTACCTCCCACCATAGACCAGCGGCATCGAGCAGGCTACACCCACTGCACGCGGGGTTTGAGCAGCAGGGAGGGGACAGAAGGAGGGAGCTGTGCTCACACACACAGACCCACACAGCGGAACATAAAGCAGGCTGCTAGCTGAGAGGGCAGCATGGCGGGACTACACGACTTCCACCAAGGGAGCCACTGTCACAGGAAAACGTGGATTAATATACTACAATTGCTGCATTTCTTTTTACCCATCGTTCAGCAAGGAGGGGCCCAGCTGCAAGGTTTGTGCTCACCTTTGTTTACTCTTTCTGGGGTGGAACGTTAACTGGTCCGCTGCGGGGGTAAAAAAAAAAACGAAAAAAAAAAAACGGTAAGTTAGCTACCTGACAGCAGACGTTGAGCTGGAAAATGAGTGACAAGCTGCGCTGTTCTCCATCAGACAGGGTCTAAATAGGTTCAAATTATTCGGAATAAATGTCCAAACTTTACGTAAACGTGCCCCGACGTATACTAAGATATAAGGAGTATTACAGCTGATATTTACTTGCCCGTTTGTGTCAGTTCTTGCTAGCTCTCTGCCAGTTCCCTGTGCTGTTTTTATTGAACAAAACTGAAGGGGAAATTGTGGCTTGGGGGGACTTTGAGGGACATTTACCGGTTGCCACTGTGAAAAATATTTATGAGACTTTAAGCTAATTCTACCCGGTGAAATAGTCACGTTTTGTGTAGTGGCGGTGTAGATGTTTTCCAAGTTTGTTAGCTGCCGAGCTAACACTCTGCTAAAGCAGCAGCTAGCGAATAGCCTTTGTCAGGCGAAGTCGTTTCCTTACTTGTGTCTGACATTGTTTCTGTTCATTTGTTTGTAACAACCAGTGGCAGGCAGCTTGCATTGGTCTGATATTGGATTATTCAACGTGATGCACATGCATGTGAGACCGTTGTCCAATACCTTGCTGATTATTTCATCTTATTTCTCCCCACAAAGCTCTGAGTCAGATTCCCACCAGCGTGGTCGAGGTCTGGCAACCAGAGGAGGCAGACCCATTTGTCCCACTTCAGGTACTCGTACTTGCATCTGTGCAAGTCTTTTATTTGTTTGTTTGTTTGTTTTTCGTTTTAAATATTGATTTATTAAGGGGGAACTGAACAACAGTTAACGTGGGAATGCAGCCAAATCAATAAACGTGTGTAGACGATTTTGGCATCAAATTTTGCAGATGGTTGAACACACCTTTTATATTTATGAATGACAGTCACATTTGTGTTTAATATCGAGTTTTATGCAGACAACTCGGTTCTGGGTTGTAACCACAGTCCAATGCACAGCTCCAGAGTGAAACCAGAGGAGGACACCACCTGCTCGTTTTCCCCCCTTTTTTTCTTTTGATTTAGTGCCCATGGAGTTGGTTTAGTCAGTAGAGCTCACTGAGAGCAAACGCGTGGTAATTTGCAGTCATTTCCTGTATATTAGTTTGTAATTATTTCCTGCTTCTGTCTCTTGTGTATTTATCTTTTGTGCTGGAGCTTCTTTCTAGGTTTTGCACTGCAGCTTTCTTGTCATTTTGAAGTTGGCATTTGTGATTGTTATGCAATTGTGGAGCACTGGGACTACTATCAGCAGCAGTATAGTGTTTACTGATTACCTGTCATGAGGTCACCAGCTGACTTTTCAAGTCACCTGAGGTGTGGCGGGGGTGTGGCATTTCAGCTGGACTCAGGAAAAATCAGACTGTGCGGTTTCAGTGCATCAGGGATAGTTGTTTGTATATATGGCTTTTCTGCTAAAAGGTCAGTTCTATTCATAGTGAAAAGCAGGTCCTGCTGCCCACGATTGTATCACCACATGTAAATAGTTAATGCTCGCTCTGTAGTCTGCAACCTGCCATAATTACCACAGACATGCAACACTACAGATAGCACAACAACATGATTCAGCATTAAAGATAATTCCTAGCAGTAGCTGGATAAGCTGATAAATAATGTACTTTCACAAAGTATTGAAAGGAGATATATACATCAGTGTATGGGTTTTCTTTTTTTTTTTACCCCCTGTAACTCATACCTTGCAGGTTGGTTGGTAGAATTGTTGACATTGTTGGGTGTCACGTTTAACAATGAATGGAGCAACTGTCTCTCTCGGTTACATTGCTCGGGGAAACAGAGCATGGCATGGGTGTCTTTATGCTCTGGTGTGGCTGCTGGACAGCTGGTGAAGTAGTGCGTGTGTGTGTGTGTGCGCGTGTGTGTCTGTGTCATACACCAAACAGCCACATACAAAATTAGCTTTCTAATGCTTTATAGCTATTACAATCCCTATCTGCAATTCTCTAACCTCTGAATTTCATATACTTCCCCTTTGGGGAAAGTATTTTACTTCTCCAACCGTTGTCCTTTTCATTTACTAATGCAGCCGTTTGCCTTTCAGTATTCCTCATGTGTCTGCTGACTTGTTGGAAGCATAAGCGTCCATTCTTTCATTGTGAAGCTTACTCAGCAGGGAAGTTGGTTTTGTAGTTTTATCATATCATTTGGCAGTCTGTCAAAGGATTTTATTGGCTATAACAAGGCATCAGTTAGAGCCTTTCTATTCTTAACCTGTGTATTTTGGTTTGGTATATTAAGTATGAATAAGTGCAGAATAAAGTTAGGAACCCCGTTTATAACTTTGGATGGGATAGTGTTTTGGTTATGAAAATATCCTCTCCTAGTCATAGGTATTTGCAAGCCTGTATGTGAGTTAACAAGTTTGTTTCATCTCCACAGATGATCACAAAATAGCTTTGTTAAATAAATACTTGTGCATCTGTTGCCCTGTGCTGTTTTTATTTTAGATGGTTTTTGCATTGCCTTTGTGCAGCTTTGGAAAGCTATGCCCATATTGCAAAGAGCACAAAAAAATTCCCAAGCTTTAAAACATTTGTCTGGGATAGGTGTGACCTGTGTTATGTGTTGACGTGCAACTCAATTGACACAACGATGTGTTGCCGCCATAAAATGTTTCTAATGTGCAGCAGGTGGAAAGATTTGAAGGAGAAAAATGCCTGACAGTCAGAACTCCAAAGGGGCTGTTTAGATGTAGACTGCACTGAGTTTATTTATCTCTATTGTATTTTTCCTTGTGTTCTGATTGTAAAGCCATTATATAACTCTGATGTAGATTTTCGGCATCTGAAGGGACAAGATCTTATCTTAGCTGTTGCCCATGTAAAGAAAAAAAGGAAAAGGAAAAAAAAATTGAGTAATATTGTCATAAGTGTATAAGTCGAACACCTGACGATTCCTGAATATATCATAAGCGTAATTTAAGACTGTAAACTCAGTATTTGGGTTTACATAGTTTACTGAAGAGGAAGTAGTGTTATAGCATCCTGAGCAAAAACAAAGGTGTTGTAGTGACTATGACCACTTGAGTTTTGATTTTTTTTCTTCTGTTTTTGCTACAATCAGTGGTGTCTGAACCTAACACGTCTCGCCAGTTAGACTGTGAATGTGCTGAGAAGACTATATACAGTCACAACACAAATCCATGTGTAATCTAAAAGAAAAGCTAGCATTTTGAAGCAAGTCATCCATTAAGTAGGTGGATATAGGGACATCTTTAACAAATACAGTTTCATTTACTTTATTATTTGAGAGCTGGATTACTTATCTTCTCATATAAACTTCTCTACCTTGAAACACTACCCTGGCTCTCAACAAGACCCTGCTTGTGTGGAACAATGCTTTAGGCGTGCACGTGTCCCATGCTTCAGTTTGGGCCCCCTCCTTACATTTTTTTTTATTTTTGGGTTGTTGTTTTTTTTCTTCTTTTTTTTGGAGCAAAGCACAATGACATTTGTGCATTAAAGAAGGGATTTAACCTTTTTAAGTGTTTTCCTCCATGTACAGTATATTATTGGAACATATAGTGAAAGACAAAGGACATCCCTTGATGTCAGATTGGATTTAATGATTTTAAAATTTGACTCTTAAAAATGTTTCTACTGTAATGTTTTGTTAGTATTCTTAGTTAGGAGGGTGGTAAGTTTCCATACATTTATTTTTTATGGCCACAATGTAACGATAAATAGTGTTACTAAATGAAGTGTCTTCCATCATTTTCAGGTGGAGAAGGATAGAAGAAAAGACGGTCTTCCATTAGAGGACAGGTAAGTGATTTTCCGTCATTCTAATAGTTTAATTTGTTTTGTTTTTTTTAGTTATTTGTGTAATTCTTACTTCTTCCTTATGCAGCACCCATTATTGGCACTCGCTAACCACAGATGAAAAGGTGACATTTGACAAACGCTTATGTTGCAGAGGTGTATTGAAATGGTCAAAAGTGAATGTTGACTAATTTTATTTAGAAAAAGAACCATTAACAAAATGAAACTTTTTAAACAGCACACAGCTCTGGGAATTTTCTGTTAAATGGAATTTAACGGTTGCATTTGTGTTCGCATGCACATTTCTTGTGCATTGAGTGTGATAATCTAGCTTTAACTCCTGTAAATATCTTCCCCCTTATGCAGGCTGTGTTGTTTATGTTAGTAAGTGGGGGACCATGTGATGGAGAGTTTGGGGGCGTGTGTTACAGAGGCACAGGACCAAATTCCTGACTAATTTTAGAACTCCTTGAAAGAAAACGGAGGAGAGGTCTGTCTTTCCCTGGTGTTTTTCTTCCCTCAGAAAATGCTTCAGAAAAAGAGGTTTTCATTTGAGTATCAGTGGCTGTTATTTAGTAGAAGGGGATGCCAGCTCACAAACTAGCAGGATTTAAAGCAATTTTTTTTTAGATCTTTTTGTTGAAGCTATGTTGCTTTTTAAACTAGCGCATGCTGTGTTTTATCTTCTGTTTTTGTCATTCCTTATACCTAAACTGACTAACAAATAGTCATAAATTGTAGGATCAGTTCGGTACATCGATTTAAAGAAGAAAATAAAGGCAAATTACAGGGTGATGAGGTCCTTAAATACATCCTCCTTTAAACATCTCAGGAATGATTGTTGCTGATGATGTGCAATAGTTGTAGCACCCAAGTTTGTAACACAGGTCAGGACTCAGCAGGCAGTACACAACATTTAGATGCTTATTAAAGTATCTCATAAAGATAGCACACTGACAGCTTTGACATTGTTTAACAAAGTCAAATTAATTTACTGTTTGTCATCCATAGAAATGCTGTTGATTCTCTGAGTGTCTCTCCACCTTTTGTACTTTTATATTTCCCGAAAGCTACATTGGTGTTTAAAATGCTTTTTTAATTGATGTACTGGGATGTTTTTAATTGGTTTAGATTTTCAGTATATTATCCTTTATTGTTCTTTTATTGTTGATCATTTTAGCTGATAGTGGTGGCATCAATGTCACCCCTCAGCTCAGCATGGGGACTAGTTTTTAAAGGAAAAATGGTTGCTTAGCGATCTGGGTGAGTTAAAAAAACAAAAGAGAGACACAAGCATCCATGGATGTTCTAAGTCCAAAATCTGCTGAACAGCAGGGGTATTTTTAAATGGAGAGAGGTGCGAGGCCAAAGAGACTTTACAGAGCTGGTTGACCTGACGGCCTCCAGAGCTGCTGGCTGTGAGGCCTCTCGTGCCGGGGTTATCAGCCACTTACCAGGCCTGCCATCACCCTTCCCCAGCCTACAGCCCAGAGCTGGCTGCAGATACTAAAGTTAATGATATTTTTATCTGTCCAGTGTTGAAACATCTTAGCCGGTCTACTTCTGCTCTTTTTGTTCTCCCTACTTTCGGTTTCAACAGCCATTTTCTTGTGATATCTTTTTTTTAAACTTTTCCATGCTAACCTGCTGGTCTCGGGAATTTACACGTGACACAACTGTGGCACGTTTTTAATTAGTTTGGGTTTTTATCATGTACCCGTTGATTACAGGCATATCTGTGAAAAGATTTGGACCTGAGTCTTTGTTGTTAACCTCTCCCCTGAAGCATGAATGAGGTCACTGCTCACACTGACTTTATTTGAGTTACATCTCGGTATCAAATAGCACCAAACATAATTTGCTATTTATGTACGGTGCTCTGCAGTGAGAACTCTTGGACTTGAACTCAGTGGTATACTTGCTGGGAGGCTGGATTTTCCGCCAAGGGAAACGGCTGCTTAATGTCCAAGTGGAAAAAAAAAAAAAAATTGTGCACGTCAAACTCGATATTAGATGTGAACTTGGACCGACCAAAAAGTTCAAGGTGTTTTTCCCATTTGCTCTTTGGCATTGAGCATAACCTTTGCTTATTCAAACTAATCAGTCTTTCATTGGAGTTGTTCATTTGCATTAATCAGCATATGGTGGCAGCTTCCTAAATGTGGTGTTCTACAGCAGTTCTTTGTGTTGGTGTCTAAAAATATTTGTTGTTTTGTAGAAGTCAGTGAAAAGGTAATTTGTCACTCGTTAAAACAAAAGAAATTTCAAACCTAGATTTAACCTGGAGGAATTTTTTTATAACTTCCAGTTATTAATGTGCTGTTTCTGAAGAGTCACTAGGGAAGTTTAGTGAGATGGGGCGATCAGATGCAAGAAAACAACATTCATTTGCTTTGGAGTGCTTTTATTGAGTGCGATATGATGACAGACTTGAGATAACATGGGGAGAAACTGTCTGCCAGTTCTCTTCAGCAACAATGTTGGCTAAATAGATTAGATCACCAGGAGCTATAAAGTCTGCACTGTTTAAAAAAACATTCAACATTGACATTAAGATGGAAAAAGTTTGTTTAGTTGTGGTTGAGTCATTAAAATGATCCTTGAATATGTTAACCTATAGTGATTGTGGTACCTGAAACGCTTTAAAAAAAAAAAAAAAAACGTATTAACGGCACAACCATTTCATTTCTTTTTTTTTTATTGTTGTTATCAACTCTGCAATGTTGTGGTACTTAAGTTATACCTCAAAGTGAGGAGATAAATGACAGGATGAAGAGCTGCTAAATGGACTCAGCTCCCTCCTATTATGTTGTTTGGACTCTGAGACAAACTGGCATTGACGCTTTGATCTCTCACTCACACCAACACACACACACTCCTTTTACAAAGGGAATGAACATGTAGTTTAAATAATATTATAATATCTAATGCTTCTCTGGTGTGCTGCTATAAAATAAAGTCAGTCGCAAAACCTTCAAACAATGTTCAGTTATACTGTGTGTGAGTGTACCTGTGTTTAGAGGGTAGTCAGGGGAGGTGGCTGTGTAATATTTGATACTGTGAGTGTCAAGTCAAGTTTCATACTTAGTATATTGGTGATATTAAACTCAATTTACTATATCAACCAATGCAAAAGATTGATGATATGAATTTTACACCTCAGTGGAGGCAAAAAAAAATGTCTATGCATTCACTGCTCCAGTCCTTTTAAAAATGTTTTAGATCGGAACTAGTTTCTGTGTCTGCCACATCTATCTTTTATCTAAATACCTACACTGTGGCCACGCCATCAGCTCATACACTTCCTCCACTGTACACGTGCCAACTTTTACAACAGAAAAAAAACATTTTAAATGGTAGCTGGTTACATGTATGAAACTCTTTTAGAATCATTTTCTGTAAAAATTGACCAAATGTGAGTTTAAAAAAAATAAAATCATTTGTTTGTTTTGGAAAAACGCTTCCACTTAGACTGTCTTTGTGTGGGTTTTAAAGGAAGTGTTACTGGAAATAGCGTAATTATTGCATGAGCTGGTGATTGTCAGTATGGGCTCGTCAGAATGCAACTAAAAGCATTCTCCCCCCTTGATGCTGTTCACACGTTTTTCAACATCCTGTTTTCAGTAGACATCCTAAATACGTATGTAGACGTGAAGTTTCTTTTTTAGACCGAAGTTGAGCTCAGTTATATTGTGTGCTATTTATGTCATGTTGTAGTTCATTCGGTTTGTTCTCTAACTTAGAATTATGAACTTCAGTGCCAGACTGCGTGGCTGTGCTGACATAACATGACTGGCAATTAAGCCTGTACAACACATAGGAAAAAGAAACAAAGAATTACTTCTTCTTTTACAGTTTCTTTTAAGACCATTACTCTAGATTTGGAACAAGTTGCTAGGCATGAAACCACAAAGTAACCATAGCCGCATAACATAATGATGTTAAGTGTAAATTGTGGTGCTTCCACCTGCTTGCTTGTGTTGTTTCAACAGCTGAGGTACTTTAGAGATAATCCTTGCTAGAAAAAGGTCTGCTACTGTTTACCTTAGATGAGCTCATTTCCATAACTTATTGCAGTCTCCTTCCAATGGAAACTGTTTTGACCATATTTTTAGCCTAAAAGTATATTGTTATTGATTTAATGGCTGATGATTTGTTTAAAAAAAAAAAGAAAAGTTGTTGCAGAGGCCTCTATGGAATAATCTCACCATTGTTATCGTTGTACAATGCTGTCGATGCTGTTCATGTTTATGTGAAAACAGAATGAATGTATTTTTGGTTTGATTTTCAACTCTGAAAATTGGGAAATGGTTTGTGTTTTATTTGTACTTTCTGATGCATTGAATGGTTATGGTGAACTGTCAAATGCTCAGCTTCAGAAGGGAATTAAATCTCTAATGTAAACAAATATCGGTGCTTCTTAGGGGCTGATGACACCAGAGATGCAACTGTTATTTGACTCTATAGCTAACTGTATTTGATGGCATACAAATTGTAGGTTGGACCAGTCATTTTAAATGTAACATCTTGATTAAAAGTTGACTATCTGTTTCCAGTTACTGTCTGTCACTGGAAATGAAGAAAAATGAATCTGGTTAATTTTATATTTATAAAATCCAAATGGGGAAAAAACTTGCAACACATTATATGTCCTTGAATTTTTCCTGACTGAGGTACCTTAGTTAGAGTGCTCACATTTTGCAGGGAGAAAGAAAGACTTTCGGTTTTTCACAGTGCTGTGAACTCCTACATCTCCTTACTTTGCATCAGTCAGCTTTTTTCTTTGATTGCTGTGAATTCTGACCAGCAATCCACTCGGTGTTGGGAAGGCTGTGCACAGTCACTGATCAGTGATTTCCTCTGCTGTAGTTGTGCAGTTCTGATGTATCTGTTGGATTAGAAAAAAGGTTGTTTCAAGTGTAAACATTAGTGTATGCAATTTCGTATACATTTTCATTGAGTTGGAGAAACTTTACAAGTGGGAAATTCTCTCTTTACCATCCCCTTTTTAGAGCATCTACTTTGTTTTCCCCTCAGTCCTTCCGCTTCTCCAGTCTGAGTGTTCAGCCTCTGTGTATCTGATTTAAGACACTGGCCGTATCTGGACTCAGATTAGCCATCTGAATGACAGCTGATTACCTGAAAAATTATTAGTAAGCCACATATCTCTGGAACTCCATATGGTGTTAATGGCTGTTTAGTAGCCTCTCATCCTCTTTCTGAAATTTTGATAGAACGCCTTTTACTGTACATTTGACAAATATCTACATTTGGATCTTCCTAAGACTTTATGTACCAACACATCACATTTCTTGGTGCCAAGAGTGTATCTCTGACTCACTCTGTGGAAGATGCATTCATGTGACCAGATGGATGGATGGATGGATGGATGGATGGATGGATGAATGAATAAACAGGTTTCAGTAATAGTAGAGTGCATCACTAAGGGAAACTAAGTGTAAGTGGACACTCTATCGTTGTTCCTAATCCTTATTTTTTTCTCTTTTTCCGTGTTTTAGCTCTTCTCCATATACTCGGGACAATGGAAAGCTGCTGCATTTTCAGCCCCCAGTGTTGGAGTTTGGGACTCAGTAAGTTCTGCTCTTTTGTTGCACTTGAACATAACTCGCAGGGATAGAATTATTGTTGGGTTTAAAATGACGAAAGCTTAAATTCATAATACCTTAATGAGAAAACAGAGTGTACTGAAAGTCTGAGATCTCCTGATGGACAAGAACAACCACACTGACTTACGCATTTAAGTTTACGTGGAGTGGAGACTGTGGCGTCACACCAAGCACAAAGACTATTTTCTAATGCTTTGGGACGGTTATTTTTAAAGAACCACGGGGATATCCAAGTATGGCAGTGAGCTTGCTTTTCCAGCATTCAGACATACTGTGGAGGGGCTGACCCCTGTCACAGGGGTTGAGAACTTCACTGTTTGCCTACGTACACTAAAAAAAAAACACTGGAAGTAAGACGTAAGGTTGTGGCTGCACAGCAGCACTATTTTTGCAGGGTTTATTTAGTCATATCTTTGGATTGCAGACAGCCAGCACCCCAAATCCCAATGGCATGAGAGAAAAGTTTGCACTATGAAATGTAATTGCTTCTGGGAACGTGTACTTGGAAATAAAATGGGGACTGTGAGTCCCACTCATCATCTTGTGGTTTCCTTTTTATGTAAGAACTGTGGGAACAGTTGTATTTATGGTGTTCGTTCTCCATCTTGTTTTTACAAGGAAGATGTACTGTCAATCAGAGTGACTTGCCTAACACTGTAAAAATCCTTGATTATTCCTCTTATTTTACATGAAGGCAAACTGTGCAGTCATCTAAATTGAAAGTAACATCGCTCTTGACGTAAAAGAGGAAGTGAAAGATTATTCGGTTGAGACAAAATGGCTTTAATGATGAGGTTCTGAAAATACCTAACATTTATGCTGCATTATTTGGATGAAAACCTGCTGTGCACAAAAGTCTTATCCGTGTTGCAAAATTTCTTTCGTACTTCATAATGCCTGTATTTAGCTTAAAATCTTAAGACAAAACGTGCTTTTTCAGCACTTCTTCTGTTTATACACTATCATTTGGTAACAGTTACTAGACATGAAACTGTGTTTTTACCTGAGTGTTACTGAAATGTAATGTATTTCCTGTCCTTTCTCATCAGTATGTTGTGTGACAGCTCATCACAGTTTTCTTTCTGGTTTGGAGGTTCTGTGCAGACTTCTGTAGAACATTATGTTCTTCTCTCTACAGGCCGCTGGGGCTGCCAAGAGCTGAAACCATATATATACACAACCCTAGTCAGGAAGTTCCTGTGACTCTGCTCTCAATGTTTACATCCAGCAAGCATTTTTACATACCTTCCTTTCACAGAAGAGTAAGTGTGCATAAAATATTAATATGTGGTGACGTTCAGAATGACCTGTTCACTTTGTTTTTGTTTTTTTGCGTGTTTGTTCGTTTGAGTTTTTTTTTATATTTTTAAATTTATTACCTATTGTGATCTGTTATAGGTGATTCCACCAAGAGGGAAGGCATCTTTTAAACTAATTTTCCTCCCATGTGAGGAGGGCAATGTAGAAAACACATTATTTATAAACACTTCAGCCCATGGGCTGCTGTCATACCAGGTAAGAACCTGTACTGCTGTGAACATGCAAATCATTTGGTCTATAAGTCTTTCTCATAAAAGAAGTGGTTCTTCCTCTTTCAGTTTTTACACTCACGTAGTTGAGGGAGTAATGCTTTCATGTCAGTTGTTTTTCCAAAATTAGCATGCTTGTAAAAAGTAACCGAGAGACTTTGTCACATCAAGTTAATTTATTTTTGTGATCTACAACTTTACCTTTGTAGACTGCCGGTTTTGTTGCGGCTCAGAAATGCTGTTGCCCCAGCTTCGCTCCAACATTTTCATTCTGCATTTCCATAATACAATCAGCACAACAAAAGCTTAAAAACTGTCCACAGAAATCCATCACACAGGGCTTAAAGTGTTGTTTTGTTTTGAATTCTGGCCACCTCATGTACATCTTGGGTTTTCTTAGATGCAGTTTATGAGCAGAAAAACTAATACTCAGACACTTTTATTTCACCTTTCTTTTTACACGTTTTAAAGACATCTAAATTATTTAGTCACTTTCAAGCGATGTCATGGTTCCTGTGGTCCTGACAGGACTTAATCAAGATCCAAACCTTTAAGTGGATTTTCCTGTAATCTAAAAAAAAACAAAAAAATATATAATTACATAATTATTAGCCAGCTTACACTGGTTTGCATTTTTTATGGCGTCCAAACATTAGCAATAAGATTAAATGCAACGTCATACTTGAAATTTTTGGTAAAAAAAGTTAACTGCTTCTTTTTCAGGTATTTGGTGTGGGAAGACAAGAAGCATCATTAGAATCTTTCCAAAGAAAGGATAGTCTGCTAATATCCGCTCACATCCAGAGCATTAAATTGACCCAAACTCAGGTATGTGTTTATATGTTGTTGTACTTGTTTGTGAAGGCCATGCGTTGTAGGGAATAATAGCTCATCATTGGAAACAGCTGATTTCCCTCTTCCTGCCCGGCCAGATAAACAGAGCTCTGCATACATACACACACTGACAGCACTCTCTGTCACTAAATTATTAGATGAGCGTGTAGTCAGCATGAATTACAAACTTTAATGTTTGATTTCATGGTAACTATAGAGCCCCCCCTTTCCTTTTTAAAAGGCTGTAATGAGCAAGCATCCATATCTCACAGCTGTGCAAAATGAAAGACAGACGAAGCAGCACGTAGTTTTTGAGATAAACATAGGCAGTAAAAGTGTGTGCAAGCTTCTGAGAGGAGTCTTCGCCTCCACAACAGGAAGTGGGGTGGTAGTTGCAAAATGTCAGCTCGGCCAAGTGCAGAGAGACATCGACTCTCACAGCCGCTCTGCATGTGCCGCTGGCTCGCATGCATTTATTTTGGTCTCAGCAAACTTCCACACTTTCAACATATGGTTTTCAGAAGCCTCTGTGCTGCAGTTCTGTACATCAGCAGCAGCATCTCACAGCCACGCTGCTACTGCCACTCTAATTTCAGATCATCTCAGGGCTGTTCATTTATTTTTTTAATGTTTTGCCAATATTTTTTTTGTTTTTTGCATTGCATTATTAAAGCAGCTGTACTTCATGGCTCCATGCCCCATGCTGTAGAAAAACTGATGGGTGTTTATTGCTCTTGCTCCTACAGGAAGATGCTTCCAACATCACTATTCTGGGTCTACTCCTGGAGTCCAGCTTACCGAAGAGTTTGCTGAACAATCCTCAGGTAGTTCTGCAGATGTGCTTGGGTAGTTTACAGGTTTGGAAAGCTAAATCTTCGGTCTAACTGCCTGCATTTATATCTAGGATGTTTTGAACCAGAATCTTAGACACATATATCTAGTGCTCTGTCCACACTTTGTATTATTTCCAAACAGGAAGAGAATTGATCAGTGTTGCATGTCAGGGTTCTAGTAAGGACTCAAAGTAAGGATTAACTTCACATTCACATTTGTGACTTTGTATGAATCACACAGCATTAAAAAGTCACAAGCCGTACTTCACTTTTACAAAGTTTTCTTGAAAGAAAAGACAAAAAAAAAAGTATGGTTACTTTGTCCAGTCGTCAACGCCAAATTTTCCAATTCTTATCACCAGTTCGCTTGGCCGAATAGGCATCAGGGCTTCCAATGTGAATGCCTTCTGTTATCTTTAGAACCCCTAAAGGGGGAAGAGATCTTTTGCGAGACTAATTGCTTTCTCGAGAGACTCTGTAATTGACAGAGTTCTCAGTACTCATGGCACCATATACATGAAACGAGATAAACCCTAGAAACGATAGGCATAACTATGTTGTTTTAAAACAAAGGTATTACTATCCTGCTTTATTTTTTTTTATTTATTGTAAAGCTGATGTGGACTTTAGCATAAAATGAAGATCCACACCAGCTTCCAGATTGTTTTGAAATACCCTCAAGCAAAAAAGTATTTGGTCATAGAGAATGCTGCTCGCAGATTAGATAAACTTATTAGAAAAGTGGTTATGATTTGGTATTCAGACTATAAGTCCTTGACACACAATGGTGCCTATCTACATCCGCAAGAACCTACCCCTAAATAATCACGTAACGGAAATAGATGGAAATTTTCAAAAAAAATTATTTTGGTTATAACCCAGTTTGAGTCAATTCCTTGAGTTTAATATTTGTAATCACTGCTCATTCCTCTCATGTTTCCATCTCCTTCTGTTTGGTGCATGACTGGTATGCCTTTCCTGTCCTGTCCCAGGGGTCCTGCCTTCAGAGTGAGGAACGGCTCAGTCTGCAGATTAATCTGTCTGCGCGTGGTGACCGGCCGGCTGACCTGGACAAGCTCAAGCCCTATGTCATTGAGCACATTTTGTTCCTGTTGGTTGCCCCTACTGCTGGACAGGCTGCATTGGGTGAGTGTCTGCCCCCTACAGTCCACTATCTGGTGGGAAATGTATTGGAAAGTTGTTTTTTTTTTTTATTATTCATTTAGCATCCTCTACTGTACATGTATAGATTTTTTGTAATTTATTGATACATTTTCCAACAGGGGATGCAAAAATTGCAGTTTATATGTTAAATTCAGGCGGGAAGAAGCTCTACATAAAGGTAAAAAAAGGATTTTTTATCATAGCTTTCACATATCTTTATTGTAGCTTTAATAATATGTTTCATGTTTCCAGGATATACAAGTGCTATCAAAAGTAGAGGCCAGCCTTAACTTTAATCGGGTTTTACTGACACCAGAGGCAAAAAACTTCACTGAAGTGGCCACCTTAGCATGCAGAGGTGATCAAATATTTTCCTCTCATCTCACGTATTCTATTCTAAATTTGACTTCCCTTTAGTCACCTTGATGTTTCTTTGTTTTGTTTTTCGTCAGGCTCATTGCCAGGGCATGGACAGAAATGCATAAGTCATATCAGTCTGAAAATAATGGGAAATAGAACCACCTACAGCTTCCCAGGGTTACATATCACACACAGGTAACATTTACACCTTATTCCTAACATTCAGTCCAGCTAGAACGACAGTTTAAAATATTGGCTCTAAATGATGTTAGAAATGCTTGGATGCCATTTTAAAAAAATGTAATTTTTTGTTTATTTGCAATTTCTACAGATGGAAAGTTGGGGATTTGTTCAGTCTGTTTCAGGTGAAACAAAGCAACTCCAACCAGGTGGACTTGTGGTTCACCAACCCTCTCCCCCTGCCCCTCACTGTGTTAAACGCTAGCCTCTCAGAGAAACTGCGGGGGGTTGTGAAGGTATGCAGTTTGGTTAAGAGAGGCAGATCTCATTAGGTCTTATGTTGGAGTGCTCATTAGCAAATAAATGGATAAAGACTGGCACAAGGATAATGACCTGGCGAACTTTTTCCCCCGCATTTACTGAAAAGAAAAGTTTATGATGAGGTACGACAGATGGTCTCTGTTGCCCCCTGTCTGACAGGTGATGAACTTCATCAGCCCACTGAGAGTTCCCCAGGGCTGCTGGCATATCCTTTCTCTTCAGCTGCTCAGCAGGGCTCTGCCTGTCAACCATATGATGACCCTGAGCTTGGATACCAGCCTGGGAACTGCCCTGAGCATTCCCCTCTACTTCTATTCTACTTCTTCTGAGGTAAAATACCAGCTCTCGTGGCAAGATAACATATTGGTTTGGAGATCTTTTTTGTCAATCAAAGGTGTTTGTTGTGTTTGTATCAGGGAGAATTGGCATTTGAGGCTGAACAGGCATGTGGACGCCACTGTCCCCTCCGACTATCAGAAACAGGTGAAACTTTGCACTTTAAAATAACTTTTTTTTTTCCAACTAGTGGAAGAAAAGGCTTTCTGATTTTGTATCATAAACTGTGCTTCTAGGTCGTTTAGAGTGGCAGCGTTCCCTTCTTCCAGACTTTTTCTCCTCATCCTGGGCCGTTGATAGTAAACTGGCTGCTGAGCTCTGCTCTCGATGGCAAAGTCAGAAGGACAAACTGCCCTGCAGGTCAAGATGCGACACGGAACAGCTTCCATACTTTTTGTTTATCATCAGTAAGCTTTCATTTAGTTAATTACATTTGTTCTTCTCAGGTGGCCTAGGCTTCCTGTTGAGGTGTCTTCTATTCTGGACTTTGGTGCCACACCTGTGAATGAAAGCAAAGTGAGCAACACTTTGTGTTTGTTTACTTTTTCATAGTTTAGGTCTTAATGGTGGCATTGGTATAAATTGAAATGGTTTTATCTGTTCCAGGTGAAGACATTCTTGCTTAAGAATCCCTCACCCTCTGTTGTTTCTGTTGAAATTCGAATCCTTGCTCTCTACCCTTCTCCTCTAGAGGCTCTGGACCTCCTAACCAAATGGTAATATGTTAAGAATGACTGAATTACTGAAACCTGTTATTATGGTCACAATAGATCCTCCTAAATATTTCCTTTACTTGGCCTAACAGGTTTAATATCAGCCCGCTCTCCATCAACGTCAGCACAACAGAGTTTTCTCTCTTTGCTTCCTCTCTGAAGGTAAGTCTTCAAGCTGCCCATAAAAAAAATACAAAGCAATAACTTTTGTCCAGTTTTTCATGGACAGTATAGTTGTTTAGTCATTTTTCAGTCTTGCTGTTTTATCTCTGACATCTTCTTTTTCTGTTTCCATTCAGGCTAGTGAGCAGGCAGACATCAGAGGGGATAATGTCCTCCGTCTGCTGCTGCAGCCTTGGGAGTCCAGAGAGGTTTTTGTGGTCTTTAGTCCCACTGAGCACAAACCCACCACTACCATTCTTGTAATCAGGTACCTGTTCTTATAAGAAAGATGTCTTTGTTAATATTGTCTTTGTTTCTATTGCATTAAGTTGTCCAAGCAGGGGTTTCCTTTTTGGAACAATACAGTGGCCCAAGTGTTATTGTCATTATTTATAGTCTTTAAAATAATATATTTGGCATCTTCTATTCTTTCAGAATTATTAAGGAATATGTTTTTAAATATTAAATTAAGCTTTAACCTCCAGTGGTATCTCATACCTCTGTGTTTTTCAGGAACAACCTGACAGTGTTTGACATGGTGACTGTGAAGGGCCATGGGGCTAAGGAGCTGCTAAGAGTTGGCGGCAAACTGCCCGGTCCCGGAGCCTCTCTGCGCTTTAATGTTCCCCAGTCAACTCTAATGGAGTGTCGAGATGGTAAGACTTCTGCTTGAATTAGATATGTAAACACAAACGCTTTCTGCTATTTCGTCTTTGTTGTGGTTTTAGATGTCTAATTTCCTGAAAGTACTGGATTGAAATGACGATTGTCACTGTTTTACAAACAGGTCTGCGCACCAGTAAGCCCCTTTTTGCCATTCGAAAGAGTTTCAAGGTGGAGAACACAGGAGAGCTTCCTCTGACGGTCATGTCAATGAATATCAATGGCTATAAGTGTCAGGGATTTGGCTTCGAGGTGCTGCAGTGTCATTCTTTCAGCCTTGAGCACAACACCTCATCTGAGATCACAATTGCGTAAGTAGAATTTTTTCACTTGATTCCTCCATACCTCCCAACCCCCACTCTTCTCTTATTCTTATGTAGTATTGCTTTATTTTTTTATTTAGTCGGTTTTGTCTCTGTTTTCAGGTTCACCCCTGACTTCACATCATCCTGGGTGATTCGAGATCTCACCTTGGTGACATCGCGCGGGACTGCTTTTCCCTTCACCCTGAATGTGACACTGCCCCACCACATGTTGCCTCTCTGTGCCCAGGTAGTTCCTGGCCCCAGCTGGGAGGAAACTTTCTGGGCGGTCACCCTTGTATTTACGTGGTCAGTAACCTCAATATTGTACTTTATTTCTCAGTAAGTTTTTTTTAAGTGCATGTGTATGATGAGTCACTGTCAGTTATTCATTATTTTGGTTGTCTCTGTTTTTTATCCTATTTTCCACAGCTTCTCTTTGTTTGGCGTGTGTCTGATGGCCTTCCACCAGGCACAGTATATTCTCAGTGAGTTCTCATCATCCAGCACCAGAAGCAACCAGAACCCTGTTTTGTCCCGGGACAATGGCTCAATAAATAATATCACACCCAATGGAGTAAAGTATGTACAGTATTTATTCTCCTAACAATATACATTCACCCTTCATTGGCACTTTCACTTGTTCTATAAATATCTAAGATTGCCTTTTTTGTGTTTGTGCAGTAAAACAAAAGGCAGCTGTAAGACATATGTGGACACCTGTTCCACATCTGACAAAGGTAAGGGGCGTGGCTCTCCAGCCTTGGCCAACAGCCCCGCCCCTCGTCCTCAATCTTCAAAGAAAGGCTCCTCGTCCACTCCCTCCCAACCTCAAAAGAAACACAAAGTTTCGCTCTATTACACCAAATTCAAGCCTAACTCATCCTCTGCTACGGCTACGACTATGGATGAGGAGCAGGAGGACCTGACACCAGAAGCTCCCCTTACTCCTGACTCTTGCAACAACAATGAACCCGATTTCATCAGAGATTTAAATGAAGATACAGCCACAGACTTTAAAGAAAGCCCCCAGAGAGCTATAGAAGATAGTATGCCAGCAGCAGTTATGTTTCCCATGGAAATACCTGCTGGTTTCGCCAAGGACATCACACTGGGTCAGGGATCCAGACCAGGGTTGTTAGGAGGCAGTCCGGTGGAGATGAGCTGCACTGAGCACTATGCATTGAAGATAGACTCTGAGAAAAGGGACAATTCTGAGTTGGAGGTAAGGAGGGGCTTCCCAAGTTTTTAATTAAGCATTATTGTGTTGTTATAGTTTAATGAAACGATTCACAAATTCTTTAAAACTATTTACAAAGAATGTTAACTTTAGGAGATCCAAAGTAAAGTAACTTTTAATGGTTTCAGCTTTGTGAAGACACGAAAGGCCAGAAGAAGAAGGCTCAGAGTGCAGAAACTGCTGCTACAGGCGGGAATAATAAGGGAAAGAAAAGTCGCAGAAAGGCAGAAAGTGTCTCCAGGTAGAGCAAGCTCACCTACTGATACAGATTCTCATTTATCCTGATGTGTTTAAAGAATGTGCCTTACCAAAGGATAGAATGATAACGTCTGTTGCTTTTCTTTGATTATGTAGTGGCCCCGATCACAATGTCTTAGTAATGCCTGAGAGGGAGAAGGAGCCTGATTGGAAAACAGGAGACCGAAATGTCACTGGAACCCGCAGCAGGAACCGATACTGCAATGGTTTCAAGTCGGAGGCTCTAAAACCTGCACAGACTGCTGAAAGCCTCATCAAACAGAATGGTGAGCATTCATCCGGTGGAATAATCTCCATGTTCTAATCATCACTGAAACAGAAACCTTGTCCAGGTCGTCAGAAGAGACTTTGATTTTCAGCCCAATCTTTGTTGTTTCCTGGCAGGTGTGTGTCCTGCACGCACTCGCAGAAAGTGCACAGCAGAGCGGCGTGCAGGCGGTGTGTGTGAGTCGGGATCAGACTCGGGCAGCTCGTCGGGCAGCGTGAGGGCCAGCAGAGGGAGCTGGGGCAGCTGGAGCAGCGCCAGCAGCGTGGAGGGAGACAAAGACCACAGTGCTCGGCCGCACGGCGGCACCACCTCATCCAGAAAAAGTACAAAACACCAGCACACTCATTCTCTTTAGAAAACTCCCCTTTGGTTTCACTTTTGTACAGACACATCTGTAGTACTTTCACAGTTAGGTGCTAATATATGATGTAGAAAACTGGCAATGAATAGAACTTCACCACAGACAAGAACTGTGAGTTATTTGTGACCATTTTTTGCTTCGATTTTTTAAGGAGACGCCATTCAGTACGGTGTCTACCCAACAGAGAAAGAGTGCTACCAGACCGTGAATAACTACAAGGCTCTAAGGTATTTTAAGCAAACAAAGATGTGGTTACAGTTAAGCATGCATTTAAAAACTCACTTTCAGATTTACCCGACTGAGGTTAAAAACTGGATCTTGGATTTCTGTGAAAGTGATTTAGATATCTGGATTGTATTGACCTGTCTTAAGCTGTTCTCAAACAAATGATGCACTACACTGGGTGTTTGGTGTTCCTGCCTGGAACTGAAATGTGTTTTAGTGATGACATACCTCCTTTGTCCTGTGGAAATTTGATGGATATTGTCTTTTCTTTTTGTAAGCACAAACAGCTTGTACCACAAAGACATGTGCCAAAGCCCAGACCCGACAGCATCCGGCTTCTCCACAAGTTTCCCTGCTGTTACCACAAGAAAGGACAGCAATCTGGGTAAAATCTGACAAAAATAGCATTGTATGCTGACTTGTGCTGTTTTGAATTTGTATCTTTGGATTTCTGATGTTTTCGTTTGCTCCTCCAGACCTGACGGGTCGATATCTGCCTGATGAGACATGGTCCGCTCCATCCATCCCCCTCACCAATGAGTTCAGATACAACACCACCGAAGCTCTGTCCTTCATACCTCAGCCAGCAGCGGCAGGGTCATACAATGGGTAGGTGTTTGGAGACAGCTGCTTTTAACTCCATTTATGAATATATTTTAGGTAATTCTTCAGATTTTCATACTTTATTAAAACCAATTACAATTCAACTGAATACCTTTACGGCAAAAATAATGATAATAAATCTCGATTTTATGGAGGAGTGCACGTCAATAGAAAATCAATTCTATTTTAAAAGACAATGTGTGTCAGTGACCGGAAAGGAGTCAATAAGTTTATACTTCTTGTTCCCTTTTGAACTGATTTTTGTGATTTATTTTATTTTTTAACTCTTTATTTTTTGTTTGAAATAGATAAACTTTCATTCATTTAGAGAGGGAAGTTTAAACTGAGTTGCCTAAAATGCCACATATACTCTGATGTTAATAGATGATAGAACTGATAGAAATTTCCATTATATTTAAATGGTAGCTCTTGGATTTGCCATTCCTTAGTTAGAGTTTCACAAATAAGTGCTGCTGCATCATTTTCTTTTCCTACAGTGTTAAGTTAACGTGGAAATAATTAGTTTTTTCCTACATCTGTGTAACTACTTCCATGACTATTCTGGACATAAACCCATTTGTGGGTGATCAGTCTAGCTGTAGTTGGTAATGTTGCATCCAGAGCGACTTCTAGGTCTGCACCCAGTACTTTAAACCCCTTCACAAAGGCTTAAGCTGTCATTATGCTCACCACAGCTCAATGACACGCCTCTCTGCAGTTTTCTGCTTAGCAGTGAGGATAGCTGCTGAGAATATGCCACTGCAACACGGCTAGAAGCACATTCAAATACACCAACACAGCAGCAAGGGTTCAACCTCTTACTTCACTGAATAGCTTTGTTTTGCTTTTGTTTTTGTTTGTTTTTTTTTACTTTCTCTGGGTTTGATGAGGTGTACAGATACCTGTAGAGGCAAACTTATGTGTGTGCCTATGCTGGCACACCTCGTAGGAAGTTTTGCCAGTTACAGATATCCATGAGCATAAGGTAGTATCAGTCCAGCTGGTTTTGTGCATGTGGTCCTGAACACAATCATGGATACGCTACTGACAGCTGAACAATGTTTTCCAGTTTGGAACTCTTTTTTTTTTATAGAAGTGAGTGTTAAATGACCCAGTGTAATATAAATGTAACACATACTGTTAATTGTCTGAAAATGTCTTCTCAGAGCTGCAGTTGGTGTCTTTCCATGTTCCAGAACATCAGTATGACTGTTTCATGTTGCTCTTAAAATCATATAAATATGTCTGTTTCCTGTAGGTTCACTTGGAGCAGTGCCAACAGTCATTGCAACAGTCCCTGCAGCTACATAGGTACAAACTCATGCCAGTTGTATAGTCATGTTACACGTATTGTGTATAATTTTGATTGAAAGGAAGAAAACATTAAACATTCCTCATCTACCAGAAGCTGACACGACTTTAAAGTGTTCAGTCCTCATCAAACGTAATCATTTTGCAGGTAATGGGACATTTACAAGCAGATTTCCCAACCAAGAGGTCCAGAACACACACAGCAGTCAGACCAGCTGGAGTGAGGAGCAGCCTCAGGAAGCCGGCCCGGCCTGGAACGCAGCAGCCTGCGTGGGCAGCAAGGTGACGCTTCATCATGCCTCACTCAAAAGATCCCTGTGTCAAATCTGTCATAGGTGTTTCCTGTGAACACTTTTAACTCTTTTTCACACTAAAATATCATAATGCATGTTGAACAGTTGTTGTCATTCATAAATCAAACATAACAGAAGGCATGGTTGTGGGTGAAGACTTAACTCCATGTACCCTATCATTTCCAGACTTTTTAAGATTGGCCTTGATTCTCAGTAGGTTTTCCGGTTGGACTACCACCGGCTGTCTGTGTTTATATTCATGATTATTGTAACAGACGACTTCATGCATCCTCACAGATGATTAAAACAGAGCAGACGGCTGACAGTAACAGTAGCTTAAGTCGGGCAGTTCTTTCTGAAGCCTTCCTCTGTGTTTTCTTAATATGTCAATAATGTGATCTCGCAAGCACTGCCGTCTTTATAGTGACTGGAGGATGTGATTAAACCTTCATATATGGAGTATTTTTACTATTACACTTAGAATAGTAAAATCAGTTTACAAAGAAGCAGATTTACTGGGACCTCAGAGAGTTAAATATTTTTCTGTAAGACCAGTCAGAAACTTTGCCGTCTTTACTAGAAAAGAAAGGTCATTTTGTTTTCCCGGGAAAGGGGACGCTGCAGGGAGCAGATGGCAGCAGATTCTAGTGACAGGCAGAGTTTGGAGGTGTCAGCAGAGCGCACCTCTTTGCTTTTTCGCACAGCTTTTTATGTGTCTGCTGAGCACACCGAACTGCCAGTAGAAGCTGAACTGTTGTCCTTTCATCCTTCACAGCCGTACTTCCCAGGAACCCGCAGCCTCTCCCCCATGTCCAGCCTGTTCGGATCCATTTGGACGCCCCAAGGTGAACCTTACCACAGCCATTTCCAACCTGAACGATCAGCCCCGGTGTCGCCCATGTCCCCCATCACGCCCCAAAGCCCACCACACTCTCCCTTTAGCCGGGATCCAGGGGGGTCCTACGGGCCCATACATTACTCCAGCTTCAACCCCTTCGGCCCGCACATGAACCTGGACATATGGAACTCTTCATCCAACCGCAGCTCCAACTCCCAGCTCTCCAATGACTCCGGCTATTGTGGAGATGTTTAAAAGACAGGAGGAAACAAAAAAACAGATTGGCAGATCTTAACAACAACTGCAAACGTATAAAAAATTATGTAAAAGAAAGGAAATAAAAAAAATGAATGTTCTTTTATCAATAATGGGGAAAATGTGAATATTTCTTTTCTTTTATGTTCAAATTTTCAGATGTTAAATGTTGTGAGAGGTTAAGCATTTGTTGTATATTTTTCTAGATGTTTTGCAGTTTTCATCAAAGAAAATAAAAAAAAAAGGTTTTGTACTTGGAAGAACATTGTTATTTTTGTTTTAATTTACACATCATGTCATTGTTCCTTCCCCCCTGTGACCCGGGGGTGAGAGCGGTGTCCGGCTGATGGTGGGGTCGGTGTCTGACCAGACTACACGTTGCGGTGTCTTTGGTCAAGACAATGGCCCTCCAGTTGCCTGCAATCTAACCTCAAATGGGGCTTGTTAGTGCCGGTCCCAAGCCGGGAGTTGCATCAGGACGGACCACCGGCATATAAACTCCTGCAAAAACTTACCATGCGAGTCGAAATGGAATGAAAATGGAAATGACATGAATCTTTAAATCACACTGGATTCATTTAAAACAAATGTTAAAATCAGTAATAGTTGGCTGTCATGACTAGGTGTAAAAGTATTGAATATTCCAAGCTGAAAACATGTGTTGGAGGTTCTGCAGTCTGGCAGAATAAGTGTGAGATCATTAATACCCCTAAAAAAAAAACGAACTTGACAAAGGATAAAGAGTGTAAGCGTTAAACTGCATTAAGAGCAGTCACTGCTTGTTCTTTGAACTTTTACAAATCCGTTACAAAGCTCTGTTAGAAATGTAGTCTTCATATTTACACAAAAAAATCTCATTGTAGAAAGGACCAGTAAATGACCAGCATGATCTAAAATATTTTTAGCTTTTGTAAAAGCTGATATATATCCAGTTTGTTATGATATAAGGCCGGAAAAAGACACATGTGAAAGTTTGTGTGCTTTGTGTGTTCATGTGCTTGTGTGCCTAAAAGCGTGTGTAATCCTCTGTTAGGCTCTTGAGAGCTGACATATTGCAGCTATTGATCTTTACTTCTAAAATAAACACAGAAGCCTGGATACTGATGACGGGCAGGCCAGGGGAGTCAGGGTGTCCTGATAACACACAAACACACACATTAATGCTCAGCGTGCCCATATGTACCATCTCACAGGGGTCTGCAAACATCAGTTAAACTGTGAGCAAAATGTAATCAGTGAGATTTAAAACATAAATTTCACCATGGGATGCATAAAACCAAAAATCGGGCTGATGTCTGCTGTTTTCTTACATGTTCACATACATAGCCATCCACAGAGGAATTGTGGGCATCCTAAAAACCTGTATGCTCAAATAGTTTTGATTTATTTTATTTAATTATGAACAACTCATACATATTCGTTTGAGACACTGAATGTGCTAGGTGTTACAAAACATGGTGGGTTTAAAAAAAAAAAAAGTAAGATAAATGATCTCTCTAAATGATCTCTCTTTAATTTTCTTTCATTTTCCTGGGTTGTGTGTGACTGAAGCCCACCCCTGCTGCTGTCTGGTGAGTGGTTGGGTGTACCTGTGCCCTCCTAGCCTCGATCTGGCCCGAGTGATACCCTAACATGCATGTTTTGGGAGCCTTGGATTGAACTGACATCCATCCCACCTCTCGGCTGGAGGCAGATGGCACAGACCGACAGGGCAGAGAAGATTATTAACGCAGGCCGGAGGACATGGAGGGACGCCGGTGCTTTTGCTCCCTTTTCTGTGCAGTCGCCAGGAGCAACCGTTTAAATGAGTGGCTTTTAGCGTGTAACGGCCTCAGATAATCGTTTTAAAACATCATGTTTTAAATTAGATTTGCTTCTTAGGAGAGTGTGTGTGTGTGTGTGATGTGTTCCTGCCGTGTCCCAGTGCAGTGTGCGGGGCCTGATGACAGCCCCGAGTGTTCCCCCTTTAGAAGTCAAAACAGCGTATGATGTGATTTCATGCTCTTTTGTCCTTTAACTGGCCTTATAACATGGACGGAAAAAGCAACGATGTGTTTGTGTATCTGTGTGTAACAACTCTTCACCTTCCCTTAGCAGAGGATCCATTAGCCTCGGACCCCCTCCCCGGTTGCCCAGTGATAAAGTAAGCAAAGTGTGTTTGACCAATCCTACACGCAAATATTTGTTCTGGAAGCTGAACAAATCCGACGAGAGACACGCGTTTGCGGCCGTGCGCTGAGGTATATATGGAGTGACAATCCTGCTGAACCAGTGTTGCATATGCACACAGGAAAGGTGGCCAGAGGACCTTTCTACGTCACAGACTGAACGAAACTGAGCCTGGTGTCTGATTCACAAGGTAAGAGGCCTGTTTAAACTTCTACGTATGCTGTTCTTTTGATTAGGCGCCGGGTCTGTCAGATTCCTAATTTCTTCCATTGTGTTTTGGTTGTTTTCCTCTCTAGGGTCGTGAGCAGCATGGCGGCAGGAGTCATCAGGAATTTCCTCTTCCAGGCCCCAACTTCGAGCTACTACCCCATGATTTTCCAGCACTCTCCATGCAAGGAAGACGAGGGGGGAAACCCGGAAGAGAGGTCAGAGGGAAGAGAGAATGATGAAGGAAGAGAAGAAGAGGAGGATGAGGATTGTGAGGCACAGGAGGATGAGGACGAGTGTTTGGACGGCTTTCTTTTGAGCTCCACTCACGCTGCGTTGGACGTGACCAAGCAGCTGCTCAGGTTTGCCGACCTCATCAGTCGTGACGTCCAGCGGTATTTCGGCCGCTGCTCCGATGACAGAGACTCCTGTGACGTCTACGGCCACGCCGTCTCCATGACGCCAGGCGGGCGTCTGCGTTACTATGATGACCTGCTCAGAATCGCCAGGGCGGGCAGTCCAGAGGAGAAAGAAAACCGCCTCCCGGCTCATTCGGAGGATCCTGCAGTCGCTGTTGCCAACGGCAACGACGGTCTGGGGCCTTTGGCCGAACTGTTTGATCACAGAGGCGCGAGCAAGGGCCGAGGCCAGCCGATGATCAAAAGGCATCTCCCCCTCAGCTTCTGGACGGAGCCGGTCCCCCGCTGCTCTCTGGTCAGCTGCAGCAGCACGCCAGGCGTCCATCATACGGACAGCAGCACGCACACACACCACAGCACACACACACACACCGACAGACACGTGCACTACAACCCCATCACACACCACAGCACACACACCCTGGACAGCACTCAGCTGGACTTCAGCGATCTGCTGGCCGACTGGGACCCCAACCCGGAGTTTGGTCAAACGCTGACGGAGGACACACACATGCAGCACTGACCACACGGCTCCGGACAGGAGCTGAGGTCTGAGTGACTCCATCCGGGTTCAGCAGAGCTGAGAAATGATTGGTCAATAATAAAAAAAAACACTTGTTGCACAGTGTCTCTTTTCGGATTCTTGTGGATTATTTCCGCCATGTTTTCATACGTGTTCAGTTTCTGGAGATGCCAACAGTTTGTCAGCAACTCAACCCCTAAAGCAGATTTCTGTCTATTAATAGGAATATGAAATGGTTGACAAAAAAAAAACAACTGTTTGATATTCAGGGTTGAGAAATGCAAATGAACCTGTTCTTTGTTTGAATTCAAATTGGAAATGCTTACACCCGGTGTGCACTGCATGTTTCACACATTGTGTTGTTGCACATTAATAAAACCAACATTCAAACACGACAAAAAGATAACTATTTGGATTTGTGCTTGAAGACCTTTTAACTGTCTAAAACTGTGCCATAGTTAAAGTAAAAGGTGAAAACTTGTAAACTTTGGCAGGCCGTTTTTTACCTCAACGCTTAATGTATCTTCAGTCTGTTTCATGTTGGTGAATAACACCACTGACCCAAACAGTGATGATTTGGGCTCCCATTAAAAATCACAAAGCATTAGCATATCAGGACAACAAAAAGCCTCTGTGTAAACATTTCCCACTTATTTCGCAATTCTTTGGTTAAGACGGGGCCAATAATGAACAGAGGTTGCAGGAGGTAAAAGAGGAAATGGAAGGGAATCCACCTGTTATCATCATTTTGACTGTTTTTAGGCAAATGAGGGTCTGATAAAGGGCCACACTGTGGTCTGGTGGTTAGTACCGACACCCCACACAAGTCAGTTTCTGGCTTTAATCCTGGCTGGGCCTTTCTTTGTGGAGTTTGCATGTTCTCCCTGAGCATTCTGACTTCCTCCTATGGTCCAAAAATGCCTCTCTAGATAACCGGTGTGTGAGTGTGTGTGGCCCTTTGTTTCTCCTTCTTTCATGAGACCCTGTAATGGATTGGTGACCTGTCCAGGGTGTACCCTTCCTCTTGACCAATGGGAGCCAGGGTCACCTCCAGCCTGAGCTGGAATACAAATGTACAACTGCCACCATCTGGTGGGTAACGGAGTCTGTTTGTTCGTGTGATTACTCCTGAGGCCAAACCAGTCAATCAGCCAGTTTACCCAGCTCCTAATCTACAAGGCACCGTTTGATTGGCTCAGGCAAACCAGACTGAGTCCTCTGATTGGATGAGATTGGATGAGAGAGAAAGCCAGTAACATTTTGACACACACTCTTCATCTGCGATAAATGTATGTACAGACTTTTAGAGACACACGTACTGAGGGTTTCCCCACACCTGGGCAGAGGCACCAGAGAGGTTCCCACGGAAACACAGACATGAGGATGCACAGACTTCTGTCCCTGGCTCTGCTGGCCCTGCTGCTGTGGGCTTCCTACGTCCAGGCCGATGACTCCCAGGAGAGCGCCGACAAAGACGCAGAGCCACAGGAAGACTCATCCGATGAAACCGCTGAGGACACCTCAGAAGAGGAAACTGATGAGACACCAAAGAAGGAAAAAACAACAGAGATAGAAGAAGAGAAAGACGTCATGGTTCTCCACATCAACAACTTCGATAGGGCTCTCGGGGAGAATAAATATCTACTGGTGGAATTTTGTAAGTATAGCTAAAATACTAAGTTTAACACTATGAATGAACTGCATTGTTTAAAAGTCTCAGTTTGTTCAGTTCAAAACAGAGTAAAAATATACTCTGTTTTGATAAAAACAGAGTATAAAAAACATCAACATCAACTTTGAGAATAGTTTTCTTTTGTGAGAAAAGTTAGACACTTTTGTTCCTTTTTATCTTTATTTATTTATTTATTACAAATTACATCTACAATTATACATGTTTATCAAAAAAGGACAGGTTTTTATTTTTTAATATCTTTCCCCAAAATATTTGCTGATCTAATGTTAAAATTCCTCAACTCAAACTTCATAATCTTGGACAAATATTCTATGAAGAAATGGGAGAATTGTGAGATCCCACAATAAGTATGTTTGTTGCCAGTACTTTATTGAAACAGGACTGAGGCACAATCACACGGACAGACCATCACCTTTATGTACACGTGGCCCGTCATGTCCAGATGTTGTCCTGGTGCAACTCTCCCACAGATGAGCTCAGCCTTATATGAGCTGTGGGGAATAAAGCTCAACCCAACTGCCAATTCTATTATCAGCAGCTTATTTCCATCTGTATCTGGAGAACGGCTGCAGATGGAAGAATATCTGAACCTCATTTGGTTAAAATTTGGGATAAAACTCAGTTTTGTCGGGGTCAAACTTTGAAAGAGTCAGCACGCTTCAGATAAAGTCACAAAAGGCCGTAGTTGGTGTTCCAGTCTCAATCCTCTGGAAAAGTGGGTTGTTTTCCTCGACACGAAGCGTGCTGCTTACATACATGAGCTTGTGCTTGTGCTTGCGTGTAGATGCCCCCTGGTGTGGTCACTGCCGGGAGCTGGAGCCAGTTTATGCCGAGGCTGCTGAGAAGCTGAAGAAAGAGGACCCTGTGATGCGTTTGGCCAAAGTGGACGCTATCGAGGAGAAGGAGCTGGCTGATGAGTTTGACGTTGGAAGCTTCCCCACTCTGAAGTTTTTCATCGATGGAGACCGCAAGCAGGCTATAGACTACTCTGGTGAGCACCCAGCATGCACCTGTGTACACATGTGAAAAAGTGAGGCTGACTGTAACATGAACAGTGTGCACCTGCTTATCTCTGGCTGGTGCCATAGTATGCTGGCTACTGATACCCGGTGTATCAGTAACTTTCAAATGAGGTACCTGAAAGTACATGGCTAGTCTGTCTCCTTTTTTGTTTCTAGGTAAGAGGTCAGTGGAGGGAATAATCCAGTGGATGAAGCGGCGCGCAGGTCCAGGCGCACTGGACATCGACACAGCAGACTCTGCAGCTGAGTTCATCAAGGCCCATAACATCTCTGTTATAGGTTTCTTTGATGTATGCTTTTCTGAAACGTATTAGCAGCATTGCCGTCATATCAATACATGTTCGAATTACTGTTTTTTTTTTTTTCTGACACGGTGCTTTTCCCCTATCGCTGCAGAGTCTGGAAAGCGAGGCAGCCAAGGCGCTGAGGGAAGTTGCTTTTGATTTGCCCGACACAGAGTTCGCAGTCACTGAAGCTCCAGACGTTTTCCAAAGCTATGAAGTGAAGGGAAATACAGTGGTGCTCTTCAAAAAGGTTTGAGGATCAACAGACGTGCAGAAAACCAGCTTTTGCAGAAATAGCAGAGAGCCAACTAGTGTAATTGTGTCAATTTTGCTGCCACGTATTGCTCAAAGATTCATGATCAATATTCATGTTAGAATGTCCAGGCATGATACACTAATAAGAGTATGCTTTTTCAAAGTGTTTATTACATGTCTTTCTTCAGTTTCTTTCTTATGATCAAATGTATTTTCAATTGTTTGATTAAGGTTTGGTTTTCAATTGGCTGATTTGATTGAAAAATTATCACAGTGATCGGCCAAAAGTCAAACAATGTTATTGAAACAAACCTTTTTTATGTCTGCTAGTTTGATGACGGCAGAGCAGACTTCGTGTTGTCAGAAGATGGAAAACTGGACAAGCACAACCTGACTTCCTTCATTAAGGAAAACAGCCTGGAGCTGATTGTGCCATTCAGCCACGAGGTAAAGCACTCAGCCTGACATACGCGATTAGAAAAGGAAATGAAAAACATGTCCTTAAATAAAATGTTCTCCCTCTGTGCGTTTTCAGTCAGCAGACAAGATTTTTAACTCTCGCATCAGGCTGCACAGTCTGCTGTTCATCAACTCCACTGTTACGAGCCACATGAACCTGATTGATGAGTCCAAGGCTGTAGCCAAAGAGTTCAAAGGAAAGGTGACTCCTTACTCCATCTTACATATTGGGAGAATTGTTTTTACATTCACATACATTCGCAGACAAATCTGGGTCCACATGACATGAATCATGAGATTAATGGTGAATATAAGGACAATAGCTGCAGAAGCTACGGAAACTAAGATTTGCATGTGTTTTGCAGATACTATTCGTAAAGATTGACATGACATCGGCCCTGTCCCATGTACTAAAATACTTTGGCGTGTCGGAGAGTGATGCCCCCACTGTTCGCATCATTAACATGGAGACACAGAAGAAGTTCAAAATTGACTCTGAAGAAGTCACTGTTGATTTATTGAGACAGTTGTGTCAGGAGGTTGTGGACGGCACTGCAAAGGTAAGACACTCACTATCTCTGCTTGTATGAATGTGCACAGCGGCTTAAAGTACTATTACTTGTCGTTTGGTTTACTGCAGGCATACTATCGGTCTGAGGAGATCCCAGAGGACTGGGACAAAGAACCAGTCAAAGTCCTGGTGGGCAAGAACTTTGAATCAGTAGCCCTGGATGAGACTAAAAATGTCTTTGTGGAATTTTGTAAGTCAAACTACACTTTAAGCCTGTAAGCCTAACATGAAGTTACATATCAATTAATTGTGAATTCAGTCAGAAACAAAGGAAAAACATTAAAAATTGGAATTACAGTAAAAAATCATTTGCTAAAACTTAGAAACATGACCATGAAAGCTCTGTTTTTCCTAACAAATTTAAAGAATGTTTTGACATTTCTCTCTAATGTATAATCAAGAATGCACATAAGAAAATAAAAACATAAGGAACACGAGGAGTAAACTTAACTTGTTCCAAAATTTACCAGCTCCGACTTTAGGTTTGATGCCACAGAAAACTTGTTGACTAAAATCCTTCCTTTTCTCCACCAATTTCTGAACTGTGTGTGTCTGTCTGTGTAGATGCTCCCTGGTGTGGACACTGTAAAGAACTTACTCCCATCTGGGAGCAACTTGGTGAGAAATACTCTGACCGGGAGGACGTCATCATAGCCAAGATGGATGCCACAGCCAACGAATTGGAGTCTGTTGCAATTGATGGATTTCCAACTCTCAAATATTTCCCAGCCGGTGGCAAAGAGGTACAAACACACTCACACTGGCAAGAAGCAACAAGTGGTCTATTGTTTTTACAGAATCTATACAGATGTTCTGGACAGACATTCTTTTCGCTCAGGTGATAAACTACACTGGAAAAAGGGATCTAGAGACATTTTCCAAGTTTCTGGATAACGGAGGAGTTTTGCCAGAAGAGGAAAGTCATGAGAACGAGGATGATGATGACGAAGGAGATGATGGTGATAAAGGTCCTGACACTAAGGAAGGAGACAACACTGGTGAACAGAGCCAGGTTTGTTTTAGTTTCTACAAAATTTTCCTCCCCATCTACTCTTTCACCTCGATTTTATCATTCTTCTTCTATGTTTCAGGAGACAGATGAGTCAGAAGAGGTTCCTTCGAATGAAACATCCAAAGATGAGCTGTAATAACTCTGTCCAAAAAAATGAACAACAAATCTTCCTTTTTTTCTAAATAAAAGTGATACTGTTTTAAGACTTGTGGAATAATTATGACTTGATTTCCTTTGTTTTCCTTCTGTTTTCATGAAATACCTGCACAATAAAAAGCAGGGCTGTTTATCTATGCAGCCAGTGCACAGCAGTTTATGATATAATCAATAAAAAGATTTCCCCCCCATTCAATACAAACATCCATCCATCCATTATCCATTCCATTTATTCCCTGATGGGGTCACGGGGGGAACTGGAGCCTATCCCAGTGGTCAACAGGCGAGAGGCAGGGTACACCCTGGACGGTCCGCCAGTCCATCGCAGGGCCACACACAGGACAAACAACCACTCACATTCACATTCACTCCTAAGGGCAATTTCCCCAATCTCCAATCAACCTAACATGCAGGTTTTCGGACTGTGGGAGGAAGCCGGAGAACCCGGAAAGAACCCACGCAGACACAGGGAGAACATGCAAACTCCACCCAGAAAGGTCCTGGTTCCCCGGGATTTGAACCCACAATCCTCTTGCTGGGAGGCGACAGTGTTAACCACCACACCACCGTGCCGCCCTCGATACAAACAATCTGACAAAAAAGTGAAATAATCCTGAGTGAAGGGAGAATATAATAGTTAGACAATCAGTTACGAAAACTAGGGGAGAATAAAGAAAAGAGGAGAAATTATGAAAATAAATAACTATAGCAGGATGTAAAAAAACAAAAATGGAACTGAACACAAGTCTATCAGATATGTATCTTACAATTCTGCTGCCACAATTTTAAACCGGAAAAGGTGAAAAAATACAAACAAGATTTTATGGCATCACTGTAATTAAAGCTGAGATTTGCTCCAGTGCCCCTGATACCCTCCTTGGAACAGCTGTATCGAGATTTTTGTAAAATCTACAAAAATGGAGCTAGGTAAATATTACACAACAGTAACCATGTTCTTTTTTTTCCTTTTTTTAAACTTTTTTTGTTTGTTGTTGTCCTGATTTTTCAGTCCTGATCTCCCATTACCCATGTAAGCTGACATTGGTTGAGAGATGGCAAATATCCTGGACATGTTGCATGGCCATCACAGAGCAACTCATAGCTTGTGAATTCTATGCCGTTATAATCTATTGTGATTGCCAATAGAACAATTCTAAACTGTTGTGAGCATGAAATCATAGAAGTGATGTCATCCATTCCAGGTGATGGGCGGAGCCTGACATAAGACATGTGATCTCCTTTTGATGATGGGCGTGGCCTATAAAAGTGGGGAGGAGTCTCTGCATCAAAAAGTTTATAGAAATGATGTCATCCCCTCTTGATGATGGGTGTGGCCTATCAAAGTGGGGAGGAGTCTCTGCATCAAAAAGTTTATATATAGACGGTCTTGACAGACTGACTTCACTAAATTATTTTCTTCTTCTCTTTGCAGGTTTTTCATGGAAATATTAACTTTAGACAGTAGCAGGTAAGAGCAGGTATCAATCTTAGGTAAAACTAGGTAAGGTAACAAGGTATCAATTTTAGGTAAAACTA